CCAAACTGAACGATCCGGTAAAAATAGAGAAAATGGAGGAAATATACACTGACGATATCGTCGCTTTGTTTGCCACTGTTTCCCGTAGTTTACCATTACAATCAGCGTTCGGTGGACTACTAGTCCACTGGGATGGGTCATTGAGTCAGCCAGAACATGTAATAGGGGTTTGACCCAGCGCATTCATGCCCAACGCTAGCAACGATAACAGCACTACAAAATACGAACGGCAATCCATTGATATGAGGCCTCAAGCCGGCCACTGCCATTCACGTTTCTTCGTCACTACCACTCATTTTTTGTCCATCACTCGCACTTTGAGCTAGATGAACTGGATGTTGTTTATGTCTAAGGAATAGACCGCAATCAGTTCTCCTGAGATTTAACTTGATTTGTCTATTCTAACAGATGAGATCGTCGAATAGTTCCAGCGTTTTCCTGTTTCACTTCTGTCTCCGTTCGTCGAAAATACCACTGGCTGAGGGAAGAATTAAGCGCCAACGCGGAGTTCGTTGCTTGGAGGTGTGGTTCTAGGAAAAAGATACGGAATGCTGAAATATCGTCGTCATCTTTGCTTCGTTTTGTAAAAGTTGTACTTTGTCGATTCTAGAGGTTCCCTTCTGGCTTATGCTGTTATGGTTACGGCGAAGCGTTGTTAGCGTGATGGTATTGGTGATAACAATAGTGTTGTCAGCATTACGCCAACATCTGCAGCAATAGAAGGTCTCATCAGAGGAACGAAGAATGAATGAACAGGAAGTAAAAAACTTCTGAACTTCCCTCAAAGTAGTAATGGTTTAGAACTTGATGCTATAGACGAATGCCTACCAGAGTCGCTTGCATGTCCACCGTTTGAGAGGGATGTTGGCGACCGCTAGTTCTAGCGGGGCTAGCTTTTTTGCTAAATACTTAACGTCATTATACCGTCTAAACTCAATTTTGCACAACAATCAGTTGGAATCGAAAGGCTTGTTGTTCTTTTCCACCCTAAATATTTTTAGATGGACTGAACCTTACGAATCGCACATTCTATTATATATCTGATACGTCCCTAGTGGACATTCTTGCGATTTCGAGTCAGCGTATGGAACACGTAACAAAATATTTCTAGCTATTGCTAGTCAGCCTTAGTGCGTGGAAGGCAGGGAGAACCAACACAGTGATGGCCGGAATAAATAGAAGTAAGCAACAAAAACAGGAGACGAAAGACTAAATAATGAAAAAGAGTCTTGCACTCTTTGACGGGAAATCATTCTACTCTTCGTATTCGAAAACACACACAGACCCGTCGCAGATACGTATGATCTCATCGCTTCTTATTTCAGTCCCTTCCTTGCAGTTGGTTTTTTGCCTAGATATATATATATATATACGTTGGTGTATTCACGCTTGAACATATTGCACACTTTAATATTGGCAAAGTTATTAAAGTCTGTAAAGTTCCATGCATAAAGCTTAATTTTACTCAAATTATTCATACTCGTATATATTGTGATTCAGTATACGTTTGACGGACGAGTCATTAAAGTCGCGCAATGCAATAGTTCTATTTACCATAGGACATATGACGGCAAATGAAATAGTTTTAATTGTCAAAGCATAGGCAGTAAGCATACGGTATCCATATATAGGCAATCTTGCATATAAACCTAACTTATTTAAAATTATAAAATTTGGACCGTTACAATTCTCTGTGGTAGCTTCTGGAAAAACCTTGTGGTAATTCTATAACACAATAGACGTTCGGAGACTATAGAAATTTCGCGGGAGATAGGACGTTGAATTTGACTGCTTAAAAGTTTTAAAATGTATTAACATATATATGTCTATCTCCGCTAGCCAAACACGATTGCCTAAATAAACCCTACTACTAAAAAGTTAAAGGCATCGAAGTACACTTAGGCGCCGCGGGAGATGAATCTATGCTTGCGCACACTATAGACGTTCTTTAAGTTACGTCAGGCCATGGTCTGGATTCTATGCGATAACAATTCACCAACCGTAAAGCTCAATAAATCCGACGATCCATATAGATATCTGGAACGAATGCCCTATTTTGCTGTCTCAAACAGATTAGAATACACCTGTTTCGTATCGCTCAATTTGCTCCTGTCCGTCCGACAGCTCCAGCCCTCAGTCGTGTCTATCTGTGTTTGCCGCAGTAGAACAGCTATGACATGCACATAAACACTCATAAAGATACACAGCCTGGTCTCACGTAGTCATATATATATAAAGTTTTACTCTTACAGATGTGCAGATGGTACTAGAGAAAAGGCTGTTCTGGCAAGAACACCGACAACAATAATGGCGGATGAAGCCGGACTCTCTTTACCGCCTTCCTGAGTTGGATTAGCCCCGTTACCGCGGGATTAATGAGGGTCACTTATCTGCAGCCGTTGTTAAATAACGCTTGCACCCTTGCGCCGCCATGATTATCATTCGAGTAGTAATAACAGTACTCTCTCTAACAGTGAGTGAGGACTATTGGAAGCGGTTAAAATTTTGCTGGCCAACATTGACGTTTCTTCCCACGCGCGCGCACCGCCATCTGCCGCTTGCTTCGTTCATATCAGTGATGATGATCGTCACAGCAGTTGCAATTCTGATGGAAGTGTTGGCACAATAGTCCCATTGGAAAGCAACGGCTGCCGAAACGGCTGCAGATAACAGTCGAAAGTGGCCCGTCCCCTCTTTTTTTTTTGCCAAATAAAGCGAATTCGTGCGCGAAAAAGTGGGCGAGAGAGGGCGTGAAACGACAAAGAAAAGGAACAAGAGCTGGTTCACTTAGCGTATTGCGATAGATAAGTAGATACATAAAGGCGGAAAGCTTTAGCATTCGCGTAGAATGTAAATGTTGACGGCGTCGAGCTCAACCCACATATTGGCAGCATTCGTTGACAACGGCAGCGACGACGACACTACATATTATAGAGCTTGGTGATGGTAATGCTGCTTCTCGTGCTTAGGGAGGCTTATGCAGATTCTGGCCTCGATGGTGGAGACGCACAAAGTCGAAGCATTGTTTTTTTTGTCCATCGCGTATCAAGACACGCATAGATATACAGAAATATAGTTTGCTTAACTGTACGTGTACCAAATGTAGTACGAGTAAAATGGCCGTCAAACAAATATAGCAGCAGCAATACCAGATTTGAGATAGTTGTCAGGCCCTTGATCAACCACCCATGAGAGCTAATAATTGATTGCTGGTTGTGCAATCTGTATCTCATTGATTTCCTGTCTCCTCACACGCTACGCTTTTATATTTGATACATATATTAGTGTCATGCGTTTAGATTAGTCTTGTTAATTAGCTCTTGCTTTGTGTATAGTATTATAGCGATGACGTACCTACGTACGAAGGTGTATCATATCTCTATGCATATGTCTACGTATGTCTATTTGTGTGTGTGCACGTACGTAACGTAGCAGTTTCTTAGATTTTGTTTACGGTTATCTTCCATTTGCCTATAGTGCTGCTACTATCCCAAAATCGCTCGTCCGTACTACTACAGGCCGCCGCTTGATGTCGCTTTTCAGTAGGCAGCAGTGGCGCCACTGAAGTTGCCTCTAACGCTAGCGCCGCCGCTGCCTGCGAAAGCAAGCTGCACATCACTGTATTTTTTATGCGAAACTGAGATGAGCGCCATTGAACGGATGGAATACAGTCGCGAAGGGACGCGCTACGCCTTTGTATTTCACTTCCGTCGGTACCTCTAGTCCTTCTCAATGCCTCTCGCCGAGCATGCCTCATTTTAGCCTGTTGTTCGTTCGTTTGATTTCTTACGGGAACTCCCGAACATCTCGCCCTTTTCTGATGCTCTTCACAAACTGCCTTTTTCGTCGAGCTATAACTAGTACTGTCGGATTTTTTAAGGAGAATATATTATTTGAGGTAATGATTATATTGACGCAGCACAACGTCTAGGAATGTGCGTAGACATGAGTTCTGCATGTACAACCTTATAACTACATGCGCGAATAGGGATAGAAGGAAGGTTCAGCTTGACGTAAGACAGTGCGTTTTTTTTCCTGAGCGGAGTCGGCGGCTGCGTAAAGATTATAAGTCGTATGTGAGGCGTGCCTCCTAGAAGTCGAAGCCGTTCATTGGAGGCCTGCAAGTGGCTTTCAGCTTGCCTTCAGGGGACTCGATTTCTTGAAATCGAATCGAAAGGTCAGTTCGAATGTTGTCTAAAGTCGGAACACCTGTGCTCTGTAGTCTGCGGCAAAGTTTGAGGAAAGCAGAGTTGTGTGCTGAGATGCGTCCGCCTTTTGCGTTCTATGCAAACAAGCTAAGATTTGCTGCTATCTAATATGTCGAACGTATTGCGATGGCAAATCGCTAGATCGTGTATAAGATACAAAAGTGATGTTTATAAAAATATAGCAGTTGCAAAACTTTGAAACAAGAGACCTCTGATTCCGCTGGGATAAAGTGAGCAAGGGACGTCATCGTTGTTTATTGGTGAAAATCACAATATTGCGAGCAAGCGTACTTATAGAATTCGTATATAATAGTAAAGGTTGATGGGAAAGTAATAAAAAAAAAAAGATCGAAATCGAGTCCTTATGGGATCGGCTGGTGCAAATAGAATGCAGTTCGCTTATATCGCTTGAACCGTATTTCGGCATGTAGAATTAGGTGAAATTCTGTTACACTCTTTCGGGTGATATATTTAACATACAGGCGCCATGAGATGCTATAGAAAGCTTTCAAAATGCAAATGCGTCAGCTTAGCTTTTGTATAAAACGAATACACTACACTAGTAAGCCTCCAGTAAATTTGTATTACGTCAGTGAATGAGCAAATTACACGTGTAACAATTCCAAGGTAGATCCCTATGAATAGGTCCTGTCAGGTATGGTTTCATATGAATTAGATATCGCAAAAGAATCTTTCATATGTTATCGTAATTCCGCTTTTCTTTCGAATTTTGTATTGGTTAATACGAGTGTGTCAATTGACGATTGTGTCCGGCGTGCTTCCAAATTTCAGGAAGAAGGTGACAGTGAGGTGGAGATCGACCTGGACGAACTTCTGGATATGGAAAACGATATATTGCGAAAGGAGTTCCTGCTCAAGAAACTCCATGGAGCTAAGAAGAGTCGCGATATAGTCGAGAGCTTTGTCGAACAACTGATCAGCCGTGCGAAGACTCTCTGAGGAGTTTAATCTGACAAACACTACTAATAATACAGCAAAATGGGAACCCAGGAAAAACAATTCAAATAATCACAATGTCAATAACAAGAATGGCATCAAACGAAGCAAATATTCGCAATAATAGAAAAATGAATAGGAGGTAAGGCCGCCTCGTATTTATTCCTAGGCACATATACATACACACCAACATCGACAATCTGCATCCGTCGGATAGGGAAAAACACACGAACAAACGATCAGCGCCGAATGTATTCTGATATAAATCGATTTCTTCTTTGATAACTGCCTCTGCAGTAGGATCATTAATGGTTTCGACATCAATGACAAAGAGTCACCGCCTTTCGCTTTGGTGATGGTTTTGGATTGGACGCGTTCAAGTTGACTCTGAGACGCTTATTTAATGACGAGCTCTGCCGGCCTTAGCGTCCTGATGAAGTCCTTTCAACGAAAACTTCCTTTTTCCAACTACACATGGATTATTCGACATAATAATTTGATTAGCCATTACATTTGATAGAAACTATGATTTTCCTTAGAGTAGGTTGTACACACATATATAACCAGCTATCTCCGATCTAAATCAAAACCGCTTCTAAATAGAAGACCTGCTGGCCATTTCAACAGGTACTCATCTTATTATCATTGCTTGATTATAGTAAATACTAATTCGATATCATCTGCTGGCTTTCTCCGTAGGTGTAATGGGTCTATTTTCATGGGATCAATTATCCATAGAACATCAGAGGATAACCAAGTGGCCGGAAATCAAGCGATGGGTAAAAGCACCTGTGACGATACATTTTTCATTGCTTGTCGCAGATGGTTACATGCGATCATTAGTAATAATCTCCTATATATTGATTGCACTGTGTATGTCTGTGGTCTTGTCACCTTATAAACGTTTCATTGTGAACTTCCACAGCGGTTAGATCTCGACGAAGCGCACTCGGATATGAAGAAGTGCAAAAGCAAAAATAAAAACAAACTAATAGTAGGATAATGCGAATAGCACAAAGTGCGCCAATGCGTGAAAGAATTATTAGTATATATATATATATATATATTTGTATTACTGTATCGTAACTACTATTCGAGTGTTATTTCTTTTGGTACCATCGAAGCAGCTTACAGCTCGTGATTTGCCGAACATAGAAATATGGCGACGCAGTATCTCATGGTTCTACTCTAGAGAATAACTACAGGCTTATTTAGCAGCGAAGTGATGGGGCAGGACACGCAATATTGGGAATGACCACACCGGAAAGGCAAATGATCGCACTTCTGGTAACAACCGCTTCACTGTCTCCCTACTGGAACGTAATTGAATGATGAACACCCGGCAAGTTACCAAACCTAATGGTGTTAAGTACAATTTTTCACCACAATATTTCCTCACAAAAATATTCTTCATTGACATCTTTTTCTTGTTTTTGGTACTGATTGGTCTGATTACCCGTAGACGTAATAAGTAATAGCAGTCACAGTAATAATAACTTATTATTATTGCGACTGCTATTGCTTAAATGTATTTGAACGAAAGTACATGGTAACGTTGATGCAAGGAGAGTCGGAGCAAGCGTGGAGTCACACGCGCAGTAAGTATCCACCTACCTATGTGATTGTTGTTAGCCCGAAACGTATCGGATACCTTTGACCCAAATTCCTGGTCAACACGAGCAGACTATCGCTCGTAGAGCTCATACGACAGCTCGGGAACAGATGCAGCGAAAAAAGTAAACATGTCGAGTGGTAACAACAGCTTTTTGGTATGCATACGCTGGATCAAAAGTCGGATGCTAAACTATCTTCAGAAACAAAATATGGAAAAGAGCGACTGTGTGGGAACGAAGAATAAAAGGAGCACGTAAACATAGAGTATTGCTAATAAATTGATATACAATAATACTATATGGTATGATGGATTCATTGGTGAGTTTCATTAAGCTTTTGACACACTGCGTACCGTATGTATAATGGTTTCTAGCAGAGACCCAGATTGCAAAAACGGCACGTACGTAAGCCAAAAACTACTGATTGTCGCATTGATCGTATGTTTTCATAATTTCACGGTGGCTTCATACTGCAGCAGTAATCTGCGGTGCAAATCACCAATGGAAACCATTGAAAGGGTAGGCAAGTCAGTCGTAGATGAAACAAGTATAACTGTTGTAACAGAATATAAAATCGGAGTGACGAGCCTAAACGAACTGTTAGGTCAACAGGCCGGCTAAACACAAAAAAGCAATGCATATAAAGACAAGGGAACCAACACTAAGAGTTGTGCTTCTAAGTTGACAACGTCGACGAAATTGAATTACTGGTCAAGAACGCCATCAACTAAAAAAGAGACGGTGACGTAGCTGAAACGACGATTGAATATCGAGCGGCTAGCCCCGCCAAGATGCCATGCTGTCTGTTCATATAATCATGTTATACACAATATATAAATGATAATAAATATTATATGAATAAATAATAATTATAATACCTACAGCAAGTGCAAATAAAAGTCTTTTGAATCAATACCTCATTATGTTTTCAATAACCTACCTATACGGCTAATACATGGGTTACCTATATACAATCACGCTATCAGATAGGTATCAGATCATGTTTACGCTTTGTCAATAGATTTTGAAGTGGATCTTCTAGGTCTTATGAAAACTGAGTGAGGAGCGTTGATTACCATGCGATACCACAAAACTTCGTTTCTTACTTCGCGCGAGTGACGCGACATATTTGTCGGCAGTTTTCAGAATACTGAATATATAGTACTATGTAATACCAAGTTATTCTGCAATGAAGTCCTACCCGGTTCAGCTTACATGATTGGACCATACACTATAAGAAGGTCGGTTAAGCACAAAGATTTCCCGGTACATTTTCGTTCTTTTCGATAAGTAACTAATCAGACAGTGCTGAAAAATACGGATGTCTGATATATAATTCTTTCGTAAAATTATAACGAGAAATTTCCACTTACAAGTCACGTATAGCGTATTTACTGTCGACATTTCAATTCGATGGCATTATATGTTCCTAACAATGTAACTAGCTATCATTCATTAGCCGATGTAGTAAATCAATTAAGGGGCGTTGAGATTCCCGTCGATGAGTTCTAGCAATGGGTTGAGATCGCAGTCAACCTATAATATATCCAAGCATGCCACGTAAGCCTGCCCTTCTCGATCCTTGCGTGATACATTTCCTAGAATCCTTCCAAATTAAGCAGAGTCACCTACGGCCAGTAAGTTAGCCATATTTCCCATCACATGATATTGGTGGATCCAATCTATGCAGATTGGTAAATCCGTTTGGTAAATCGCAAAAGTACGACTAGAACGAACAATTTCAGATTAGCGCAAGGTTATGCATAACTCAAAGTTAGATCTTGTACTAATTTACGTGCACGTCTACGTACATACATAAAATAATGAACATGAGCGAAACTAGATTTTCACCGATGTTTTCCCGAACCGAGCAACTGAAAATGGTAACAGGAGGTCTCGTGATCATCGAAACCTCTTCGGTAATCTAGGCCGCCCACTTGTCAGATAAATAATTATATTTGTATTACACTGTCTACAGGACGTCTGTAAGTAACGCCGCTGAAACACAATAACCTGCCCGCCGTTGAGTTACGTAGAACAGTGTCGAAAAGCGAATCCGTCGCGTACTTTAACCCAACTAGCTATCGCTTGTCAGCAGCTTTCGCTACCTTTTGACAGTTCTTCAAATGCCCCACGCCCACTGAAATTGTATTCTACTAATAAACTGTATCAACAGCTGAGAGCAGTCACATTGAAAAAGCCTGGCGTGATCAAGACAGCTACTAGGCTAATACTTCGACAAAGGCACTATGGGCGGTGACATAAAAAATACTCAACAGTTTACGTTTTAACCGAGAAAGCCCACCTGTAGCTATCGTCGAATTCGTCAAATCAAATGGGGTTTAATTTGTAATTTATTTCGCTGAAGCTTCCGTTCTTAAATGGCATATCCATATGATGACAATTCTAGCGGCAACGTTATGATATCGTCACATAATGCCAAAAAATTAATTGGCAGTCGTGGATTTTTCATAGTTAGACAATCTATCTAGCAGACGTAAAGAAATTAATCCTTGAGTAAGTTCATATAATTTGTGAAACTATCAGACTAATTTCTGCAATGTGTACCTTAAGCAACAAGTAATTTCTAGTTACTCAGAAGCTATAGAACGCGTTTCATCAATATTTTATTATTTAGTGTTTGTCTTCATCTGTATAACGAATTTAGAAAGCATCACTTATTGCAGCTTCTTTCGATGATCTTCGGTATTTGACTGAAAAGCGCTCGCTTCCATTGGGCTTGTAAAGCACCAGACATGCCGTGCTTACCGTCAAGAATTATTGATTATTTATAAACTCCAGTTGTGCAACGGGCATAATGAAGATGTAACGTGGACAACTAAAAACAAGTAAACACAAATGTCGGAAATATAACAAACTTTTAGGCGCTCAAGTACTAAGTTGTTTTGTGACATGGTCTGTCCATTAATTACTTCGAAGTCGTACAGACGGAAAAATTGCAGCCGCGAATTAGGAGCTTTGTTATCCAGACTTTAAACTATTATTACGAAATAGCTAAATGAGTGCCTTGAAAAACTCGAAAAAACCAATATACAATCCCTCTCTTCAAATTAAAACGACCTTGACTTCACTTACAGCTTTCATCTCGTTTTTTTTGCCTACAAAACTCAAAAATGACTATCAGCCTCGCTAAGTGTGGTCAAACCTCGTGTAGGTCAGAGTCTATCGACATCACTATGCCACCTTTGTACGTATGCGTTATACCATTTCGCCTTTATATCATTTATGACTTACACTATACACCCGGAGCTTCAATGTCACTTCGCTTTAGGTGCGCCTTTCTTGCCATAGGCCAGTGCATACAGGTCGAAGTACTCTTAAAGACCACCCACTCAGAAGCCATGGGTTGGTCACCTGAGTCGGATGTTTTGTTTATGATCGAGCTCTCCCCCTCCTCAAATTCAGTCGATTTCCTATACATCAAGGATGTTCTCTTTATAGCCGCGTCGTGCACACAATGCTTCTTCATAGCAAGCTAATTGATGTTGTTGTTGTTGTTTGCCGATATTCCAGCTGTCCAACCTATCGTCATCTGTCTGCATGTCGATTTTGCTAACCCTTTAGTTACGCCAAATAGTCAAATGATCTGCTATAATCGGTTGAGTGGTCCTTCAATGTTCCATTGCTCTATATTCGAAATGTGTGTTTGAACGCTTCCCAAAGATCCTAGTGGTCCGTCAGCTGGTTTCTATCACCGTCAGCTGCGAATGCCTCTCTGTCAGTTTTCTAGAGCTACGGAACAAAGCGAATTTACTACTATACGTGCAGCACGATGTAACAACTTGCAACGTAGCCGGATGTACCGTGCAAGTGAAATAGAAGGTGACAATATTGAGACAAATATATTTACATCGATGAAATAAACAATTGTACTTTTTTTTTCTTTTGTTAAACCTTTCTATGTTATCGCTCTGTGAAGGGATGAAGTGTAGAAGTCCACAGGTGTTGCAATTAAGATCAATATGCTACACCTTTATAGGGTAGGTAGTTAGGATGTTTGCATGACCGAAACGTCACTTCGAAATCAAAGAAACGGAACTTAACTTGATAGCATATATTGTTTGAAGCACTTTTCAATGCTATACTACAATGATACACTTCTTAAATGTGTTGTATACGTTACGGTGGAGTTATGAAAATATTTAGTTACAATATCACCATGTCGTAATTTATTCAGAGTTTTTACGCATAACATAACCGCTTGATGTTCCGAATGTTAAGAGCGTACAAGATTGTTTTTGGGGTTAGAGATAAGTGCAATCCTTGAAAAATTTCCGTCCGTCTGCCCACTCGTACTATAAAGGTAATTGTTCGCTCTTAGCCGAGCTTCACTCGACCGACACAAAGTCAATGGACGAAGCTGGTTTAAAAAAGTGGAACTTTTAAGGTTGGAAAGTATTGGGCTCCAGACAATCGTATTGATTCATGGAAAATCCATGCAGTTCAATCGAAGAAAGTTTCTAGATAGATACTCTGTCTTGCTATGAGTTTTGAAATGAATAGTTTGTTAGCTATCAAGAATACAGGTAGAGTAAATAAAAAATAAGTTAAGTTTTAATTAGAAAAAGTTAACATGCTAAGTATGAACAGCGAACTATTTTCAATCTGCTATAAACCACCAAATATGCGTTACGCGTTCGTCGTATCTATTTTTCTTATAGAATAGAGAAAAGATGTGTGGTACCCTCCTGACTTATGTAAAGCGCTGAGGAACAATTCGTTTCTAAGTGTAGAGCTTGTTTTTCAAGTTGATATACAGTGAAGATAACGTTGCAAATTAATAAGCTATTATTATGCTAACGAACAATTAAAAAATTCAAGAGCATTCGTATAGGGACAGAATGAATATTTACGCATTTTTCTTACACACTTGACAAAATTGGTGGCATAGTGATAACATGCAGAATGTTCTTTCAGACCGGCTAAACGTTCGGTAACGCAGCCATTGCGACGATCCACTCGATGCCCAGCCAGCTCCACCCAAGTTTCTACTATTTAATATGTTATAGTGATACGCAATAAATGTCGTAATGTATTTACAATCTTATGATTATTGGATATAGAGAACAAGTCAATAATTAGCTTGTAAAATTGATTCTTTATGCATTGAAACCTGCCTCGTACCGTCCGCCTTTATTGCCTAGCTTGTGATTGCTCAGTTACATATACGTATCATTATTCTTACGAGCACTAACGGGGTGTTTGGTTATGTTCGTGTTTTTTGGTTTAGGAGCTACGTCGGTAGACGTCGTCACTCATAAGGTACCGCGGAACAGTGGTTGTAGTTCGGAAGAAGCGGCAAGCCAGGGACTTCTAGCCCCGTTCTTTTTCCACTGCAATGTATGCCCGTTACGTTTTAACTCGATTCAGTTTCTAAAGCGGCATAAAGCAAAGGTTCATGGCGAAGCCCAGGTTCCATACAAATGTCCGCGGTGCGTCTTCTCCTGTCACGATTACGCTTACTTCAGGTTAGTTTCTCGTTCTTGCCCTATTCCTTCTCTCTTGATCATTGAGGGCTTTTAAAATGACGTTATCTCGTAACGATGCAATAATTCTTTGAAATCCAAGATCGCTCACTGAAATATCGTCACGAAGACTTTTAGCACGCTAGTTGTACTAAGCCATGAAATATCTGAAAGTTCAGCTAGCTTAGGAAAAAGAGTTTTTGGTTTTATTTTGGAGTTACAGCGGCAGAAACAGCTCGCTGTATAAACCTTGTATTCGGCGAAGATCCAGACCCGCTGCAAAGTGGATAACGAAGAGTTGAGAGCTATCGTGAAAACCTATCTATTTCAAAATTCATATGTATTAGTACTCAGATCTAGCGAATGTAAAAACGTTATACCTAGGTTGAACTCGGTCAAATTAATAGATTAAAAAAAAAATTGGGAAAATGGGTGCCGCATGACTTGAGCGAGGATCAACAACAGATATGAAGAAGATCAGATCAAATAGATGCTTCCATTTTTTTGCCCTCACGTTATAGCAATCATCTATTCTTGCAATAGATAACAATAGATACAAAGCCACAACACAGTTATGGCTTACAATTAAAAATATATCCTCTACGATGTATGCAACATTAGCGGCGGTATCTCGCACTAAAGCATACGTACAGCTTTGAAAGATTTTGGTATTTGTTAAGTAATTTATTTATTACAGTTTTACGGCTGAATTGCACTATCAACAATAAGAGGAGGTTATAAAAAAAAAAAGCTACGCATTAAATAGCTAGAATTAGTGAACGGAAATAAATCGCTTGTGTTACTGAACTGTACAATTTTTTTCAAACTCTAGACATATTTTGAATAAGAAAATTCTATTCTTGCCATGTCGATATGCCATGCTATATATATGATGTCATGCTCTCTAAGATATCGTAAAGCCTTATGCCCCGGACTCTTGCAATAGTGCAATAGCTTAGTTCAAATCCAAAGGGCAGACGGTCATAAAAATATGGATACTTAAATCAACTTAAAGCAACTAAGCCCAGTTAAAATTTAGTACGTCACATTTCTTATACGTTACATATATATATATATATATATATATATATATATATATGTATGTCTTATTTCACAGCTAAATTCGAGGGCAAGAACCTTAAGGTGGATACAGTATGGAAATCAAATGTAGACTAATATCTTTTTCGCGCATACTCAGACAATACTTCTTTCATCGACATTATAGATATGCAACGCAGCAAATTCTCTATATGCGTGTTTAGTTATCTTTAATTATCTTGTATGAATTCGAAGATTTAAATTAAGATATGTGTGCTTGCGCAGAAAGGCCTCCCATCGAAGGTATTGCAGCATGACACCGCTTCTTACACAGTTGTGTGTCATGAAAACGCACTGTGCCACACATAATGTAAAGCTCATACTCCAAAACGTGTTATGGTCCGTTCTATCTGGCCTTGAAAAGGCTTTATCAGCTATAGCCTTCGCGTTATAAAAATCAGCATCATTCTGAGCTATCTTTCTATCCCCATGTAAACTCCGTATGGGCAGGAAAAGTGAAAAGCTTGAATGTGCGTTTCAGATTTTTCGCTAATAAATGTATGTTCCTTAAAAGGCATATGTATTTGTTTAATGATGCACAATACAGAGGCATGGTGCGCTTTAAAAATGAAAGTCTGACTCGGTTCAGTTTTTTGACCAGTTTCGATTAAAGGGTGTTTTCAGATCATTTGTATTTTATAGAAAGCAATTGGGGCTTCCTTTATTTCAAATAAAATCAGTGCCATGTTCAAGGAAAGTTCCAAGGGCGTATGTGTTCTCACCGTCGCAACGACCTCTCGCCGAATTTTGCTTGTGATGTATCCCCTGAAAATTTGACCGTTCGTAGGCAAAATCACAGGTTCATGGACACGTACTTAAAGCTATCTACACACTTCAAGGATGTTGTGCTCCGGGTGAACCACCTTGTGATTCGTGCTTACCGTTGTACTGATTGAATACAGCATGCTCTGTAGGACTGTATTCTGCAAGATCCGTATCAAACAAGCGCGTTGAAGAGAGCCTGTTTTAATCCATGGGAGCGCCACATCCTGTGCCCAATCTATGCTACTCAGCCGGAACACATAAATAAGCTTCCAAGAATTTCATTAGCGGAAGTGTGATGAGTCCGAAGCTTGTAGCAAAGTTTTTCTTCGCAATCGCCCTCCATGAATATAAGTTAAACGGACTACCTTTTCTCCTGGCTGTAACACTCAGGAGGGCTTTACCAGCATGTCGGTAGGCGTTTTTATCTTAAGTAATCACGGCATACTCGGTTAACAAGCGAACATGCGAAACGCATTTCCAATATGCTCACTGCGGATCTAGTTTGCGTAGTTGCCTTGTTTGACCAAGGTTGCTTCAAGAAGCGCAGTATCTCGAATATGGAGAACTTAGCTCCCAGCTTCTTGCGCATCATAGATGTTTCTCCATCATATGCATCAGCGTACAAAGGCACAATTGATAATATGGGTACATGCTCTATTAACCTTACGGAGCTTCTAAGACGTGTCAGCGACCTGTCCTGCCGCATATTTTTGTATAGTTTTTTAACTGAAACATATATTCTGCAGCACAATGTACCTACTGACGGATAGACCCAAATCTTCACCAGCACGAGCGTGGTTAATTTTCGTGTCAGGCGCAGTGCAATTGCTAGTCTACAATTTGTATTGAACCAAGAGCATTGTCAGCGAAGTTTCAGGAGAAGTATGCACGATTTTAAAGCTTCGTTCAAGCTTTCAGTGTAATAGTCAACTTTATGGTATCGGGAACAGAGTTGTCATTTCGGGGCCTAACAAATGTCCCATAGACGGAGATGTTTTTCATCAGAGAAGCAGCCTGATTCCAAGCGGTACGTATTATCTTAGAGCGTTCTTCTCACTTAAATGACTTGTTTTTTCAGTGTATCAATTTTTCCGGCCCTAAGATTTGATGCCGTTTTGTCGATTATTGATCTCCCTTAAACGCGAAGTGTTGCTATGTCAGAGCAGGTGGCATCCTAAGTCAGTAAGTAGATCCAGTAATGCTAACGTCCGGGGGACCATGGGTGGTCTTGTCTACCAGTATCACGATTCTCAATTGTTTGAACTTAGCTTCGGCTTCTGCCCTGTGATCGGTCTTGAGACAGATTATAGTTCCTCAGAAGGGCACTTCGCGACAATAAGACACCTCCTATGTTTGTAGATCCACCAGTCTGTGAGAAGAAGGCTGTTAGATTTGAAAGCGTCGCAAGCGGTCACTATATCTCTTTCTTGCATCAGTTCTGATATCGAAACGGGAACTGACAATGGTTGAACGATGACCTCGTGAAGCGTACTCAGGCAGGTTTAGGTCTGTGGTCCTGGGGCGGTCGCCAATGTTTTCTTAATATTAACTTCTTAATATATTATATTATATATATATAATATTAATTCCTTAATATGTTAAATAACTTATCGGTATTTTCGAATATGTTGGTCATATTTATTTTCTTTGTTAATCCAACGATTGTAAGAATTCTTTAAAAAAAAATCAGAGCAGGTCCCAGCGGTTCCATCACCTTGTCGCCAATTACCAACATTTATTTTTTTCGGGCGGACTTGTCTTTTCTGCAACAGAAAAGTCTTCCCTTGTCATAATGATCACGGCGCTCACTTCAGATTAGATTCAAGGGGCACGGAAGCTTACCACATCCGTGTGGATTAGCCAACTTTTCTTCAAGCGCTAGTCGACGGTAAAAGAGAAACAACACACACCATTTCCGAATGATGAACGGGTATCCAAATATCTCATTAAACTTCCTTTGTCCAATCCAACGCTTGAGCGTCGCACACGCTACATCGCCGTTTCAGAAAGGGATTAGCTGATGAACTTGTCTCATCATCGGTTCTATAAATTACGTCAAACAATCCGACCAGGTGGGATGAAAAAAATACCCGTTAAACGTGATTCAACGCGTGGGCCGCTGAAGTACAGGCGCTCAGTGAAGTCGTGTGTAGAGACAACTAGAATTTTTTTACTATTTACCATGATCAGGTAACCGGGTCGCTCACCAACAGCAGTCACAAACTCCGTTTGGTACAACGGACAATATTTAACAGGCCCGAAATTAACATAAGCGTAATACACACACTGCAGGGAGCTCGGGAACCTGCGACTGTTCCTCTCAAACGTTCAAGCTCTAGGAAATATTATAGGGTGCTTAAGGAGTCTCCGGGTAATTTCAGTGCTTCCAGGATGAAAAAAACAATGTTTATGTGCCTTTTTTGTTTTTACGTTAATTCAACCTAGAGGGTTTAATGTTAATTGTATATGGAAAATTATAACAACCAAAGTCTTTCTAGAGACAGCTCGCATAGGTCAACCCCTTTTACGTAATTTCGAACTATAGCTTTGCGTAGTTAAGTGTCAGTTTTACCAATCACTTCATAAATACCGTGTTTCAGGTTACAGGTTGTTGTCGACGTAATTTTATAGACCCTATTCTTCACATAGTTTAACAGAAAAAATTAAGAGGAGTCAAATCACAGGACCTGGGAGGCCATTGAATGTCACCAGCAGACATCGAAGCTGGCTGTCGTAGGAACATGGTTCCAAGTGAATTAATTTTTGTTGCCCCACCTTTTTTTAAATCTTCTTTGCGTCCACTCTGTCGCTGCATTTTTGGCCACAAACAAATTTACAACCTGTCATGGTGGAACTTGCCTTCAACTATTGCTTCTTTCCCGTCATCATTTATAAAGAAAAAAAGAAGGCCCAAAGATTCTTCTGTTCCACTGTTCTGAGTAAAATAATAATTCGACACTCGCTCTTAGATTCTTTAAGCCTCGAACGCAAGAATTTTATTTATTCACATATCCATCCAGCTGAAAATAAGCTTCAGTAAAGAAAAATAGTACGGTCAAAAAAGTTGATAGGATGTCTGTTTCGCTTCAAAATGTAATCAGCGAGTAATAGGCGCTCGTGGATCCTTAACTCTTAGACCAACTAATTTTTATGGAAATGAAGAAGCAACCTTTGTCTCGACATAAATCACAGTATGCTCGTCAGCGAGCCAAGTTTTGAGTGCAATGTCGTGTTGAGGTCATTTGGCAGACATCCAGATTGCTCCTGACTATAGGAATGTTATGACTTTCTGGTTCGGTTCGTGGCTCTTTGGGCCACACACTATTTGCAAGTGAGCCAGTATATTCCAGTGTTTTAAACAATTGTCTCGTACCCTTCATATTCTAGGCGAGACTTGTGGTGTATGACTGTAATCGGCTCCCTATCTACGTACTGAGTTTTCAAAAAAAAACCGAACATTGTTTCATCACAAACCGCATACGCTATTGTGGTCATTCCTTGATAGACTCTTAACTCTCGCTTATGTACGGCGGAAAATGACGTAAAACTCGAAACATAGGAGTGTGCATGTCGAGTACTCGACTAGTAGCTGTTCATAGAATGCTGCTTTATCTATCGTTCGCAAGTTAGTAACGATGGTAGCAGTCAGCTCTGCGTAATTAGATAAACAAGCCAGTTGTCCAGTTTTGCCTAGAGCAAAAAGTACAGAAAGACTTGTAGATTTATGCAAAGTGCAAAGAATGTAACTTTATGGCTTAACAACATTGCTGTCTGATTCCGTTGTTGTAAACGAGTAAGACTATTTGCCACTGTGTGAAAATTCATATGTATACGTTCGGTGTGAGTTTTTAATTTAGATTAGATCCAATAAATTTTCTATCAAACTCGAATCTTTGTTTGCTTTCCATTATTCTATTTGACCGTGTCTGCAAATGGACCATGTTCCGTGTAGGCACGCCTTGCGTTCCGGTAGCAGGAAGGTAAAATGTGATCCAGCAAGGATATTCAGTTACAGATTGCAAAAACCGATGTTTACATAAGGTAACCTAACCAGCACGATAACTTTTCGCGGTCTCTTCCAGACGACATATAACTGTTCATTCAGACATCAAGCCATTTGGCTGCACGTACTGTGGCTACGCGTCCGCCTACAAACACAACTTGAAGACGCATATCAAGAACATGCATGGAGAGTACCTCATTAAGTGTCCTCACTGTTTCGAGAAGTTCATCACTCGGGACGAGGTGGACAAGCATGTTCGTTATCACCATTTCATCTCCAAGTCGTAGTGTAAGCTTTATACAAAAATATATGATGGAGCTTAATATCTTCATAATACTCATAAACCCCAGCTGGCTTGTGGGATTCCGTGTGACAGTTGAACGTCGCACAACGTACGCATGGCAATATATATATATATGTTGCCGTGTGTATATATATAACACAAGAAGAATATTAACTTATCGGAACAAAGAAGACATCGTGCAACTCATTTGCCTGCATTTTGAAATTATTACTATAAACGTTCCGAAGTCAACTTGAATTGAATGCCATTAGGAACTCCTCATTTTGGCTTCTTTCATGGTTTTCATTGAAACTATTAGAAACTTAATTTGTCTCATGACTTTAGCTGTACGATTAGCTGCAAATATAATTGCAGGACATTTACTATTACCCTTATTATTATCAGATCTAAGAGAAAAAATGGCAGCTTTATGCATTATTACTCTTAAGGAAAAGTATTTATTTCAATATCAACGATCGCAAACCAAAGGAAACAATGAAGTAAAATGGAGTAAAAAAAAGCTCTTCAGTAAAATTTGACTGGCTGGGCGTTTCTGAGACTGTAAAACAAATAGTAACTGATTTGGAACCATAACTAACGATCTCCTTTAGCGCATTCCTTAAATTATTTTTTAGTAAATCTCATAGGCAAGTAGTATCCCGGAATAAACGTACATTAAAAAACCTAGTATTTCTCCATCGATCCGCACGTGACAAAGCAGGCACAGTGCATCAACCTGGCGACTGAAGTTTGATGCAGACAACTCTTATCGTTATTAATATATATGGGAACGCACAAAACGTTCTCATGTTAAATACAAGGAGGCCATTTTTGGGAATCGAATGCTAAAAAGCGCTAAAATAATTATTCAGATCCTTGTATATGGACCACTGTGTTTATCTTGTAGTGCACAAACTTTTTGTTGTTTCTATACAATGAGCTTTTTCGATTATCTTATTAATGCATAAAAAATGTCCTTCCAATTATAATAATTTTTGAACAGGCTGTATTAAATGGACTAGCTAAGGTGTAGCTGTTATTAATTTCTAAAAACGTAAACGATCTCTTTCAAGTTCTCAAAACCGCTGATTGCTAAAAAAAAAAAATCTCTAGTTTTTGTCCCGATGAGAGAACGAAGTCTGATTGGCCCGTAATAGATTAGCCTACTGTTTATTATTTAGTTAAATCTAATTGTTGGTATTATCTAGCATATTTTGGACTGAAAACTTCGGAAATGAAGGAAGCAAAGTACTGTATATTTGTTACTGGTAAGGGGAGTTCCGAGAAGTACTATGTTTGAGAACGATAATTTCTAGTCCCGACCCTGAATGTACATACTCCATACATAAAGATTTTAAGTATGCATATATAAGTAGGTGGCGCCATCTACGGACGCACTCACTCAGCCAATCTGTCCAATTATAAATCTATAATATATATACATGTACTAACCGCACCCATATGCGGTGTAGTCTATAATTAACTACGGGTGATTTGAGGGCGTCTGTATGGCGATGCCAGCTCACAGACATATGGAGATACTACAACAAGATACAATATTATGGCAAGACAAAATAGTCATTATAATTTTTTTGTAAATAAAATTTATTTTTTCCTCAATATGAATAATAAAGGATATTATACGTATAAGCATGTTGTTATCATTGTTCTCGTCATTTTTTATTTACGAGGCAAATCATTTGATACTTAATATCACATTTATACACATACTCAATCAGAGAGTAATTTTATTATATATGATCCCGAGTGCGCAAAAAAGTACAACAAATTTATTTAACGCAAAACGATTAACGAAACATCTTAGAGGCATTGTAAAAATATTTCCTGATATATCAGAAGCATAATGTTCGGCATTACTTGGTACTTGTAATTATACGACTATGTAGAGATGGCATATACAGAGTTCCTTAAACTCAGATACGCAAACAATGAGAGGTCAACTATTTGCGGTATTACTCTTAAGCCCCTAATAGCTTCTGTCAAATACGGCTTTTACTAGTTTTTTTTACTCAGTTTATATTTCAGTTAAAATCATCAGCAGAAGCTTGCCTAGCTTGGTTAAATTAGGCAGCACAATTCCGCTAACAACGATAGTTATTTCGAATTTAAATCGGAGAACAGGGTTTTGGAGATGAGGTTTTGCTAAATCACCTTTATTATTCAGATTACAATTTCGAATATATTAAATATCTCATTATTATTTTGATAAACACCACCCTCGTCGGCATGTTTGTCAAACTTAGTTTGTCACAATTACGTAATCATTATGAGAGAAAGACCGGGAAAGTCGATCTGTCTTACGTTCCCACGAAATTCTCTTTTTATCTACTTGTTGGTGTTGTTTGTTGCCATCATCAGTTCTATGTACAGATTGTGGTTGCTTCAAGCAGATATTTGCGAATTATAGAAATTATTTAAATAAATAACACTGTTTATAATGTATACTTACAAACATAGAATATCGGTCTCACTACTCAGTGCAACATCATTCTGTTCTGTTACCGCCAATAATGCTGTCACGTTTCATCTCATGCAAAACAATACATTTAGAGAGTGAAAGCCCCTAAAAAGATGGGTTTGTCGGAGCCTGGAACGAGAAAGAGGTGAACAAGGAAAAAGAATGTGACCCTCGGATAATTTTATATCTTCGCCTTTACAAGTGCAATGTCATCGATATAACTACACAATGCACGTACATGCATAGCATAGAAATCGCACATAAATAGACGTTCACGCGTATCATTAGCGGGGAAATTCAACAATTCAAATCCTTGGCAAAATGATGTACATGTTCATTTGCATCCAGTCTAACACGCGAAAATGAATGGAAAGATGCACTTATTAGGTGCACCAAACATACTTAGTCGTTGCGCACAACTTTGACGTTGTGTGCATGGTGTCCGCGCGTGCATTACAGCTTAGCTGCCTTAACATGGACGATTGACATGACCATATCAACAAAGAGTTGAACATTGCACATGTTAGTAATAGAGAGGAAGTATTTACATCATATCATGAACCGTTATACGTAAATAAGCATACGTGTATGTAGCAAATAGGAAGCAGAAGAAAGTGCACACGTCCACATAAAAGTCCCCTCTTCTCGGCACTGCACGTTGCCACGTCCACTGTATCACGCATGGCTCATACACTCATATACCACACAGAAGCAAACGATACATATCGATACGCAGTCTACACTCGCTCACGCCTGTCTATGTGTGCGGCATAGCAATTATATTGGGAATACTATAATCCTTTAAGCGAATTTTCTTTGACTTGTTTTTTTTCTTGTTAAACTTAACAAAACTATGTAGGAAGCGGGCATTCTCTTTCCTTTTTTTGCATGATTTTGTCCGTTGTGTAATTTACTCGTCAATATCGCTTGTTCTTATCTAGATCCAAGTTTTTTCATCAAAGCATTGCTCATAATACCGTTAATGCGTATACAATTATATACGTAATCCCCGCATATTGACGGCAGAATTTCTATATCGTACATATATATTATTACAGGTAAAAAGCTATTAGGTTGTCGTTATGGTTAGTGCTTCTACTATGACGTTCTAAGAGGTCTACATTTGGCTGGAGCTCATATCACTTCATTTACGAATACCTCACCGGTTGTAATTAGCTCTTAATTATCAGCGTGTTAAGACATGTGAGTTGGCAGATATTGGCTTTGTTTGTCAGGGAACAAAACGCCAAAGCTTGAAGGCATTTGGGAATACATACGTAACAACGTTTAGATGTTTGTATGTATACCATTCGTCAAAGTGTCAACCCACGATTGTACACATAAGTATTCTTGGTGTACAAAATTCGAAAACCTAATCATAATCGGCAAATTGACATAAGAGTCAATGTTTGTACAATGATTGAATTCACGTTAGATTAGATAAGTATTGGTGCCTTTGGATGAGTTTAAGATCAATACAAAATGGGGTTGATTGTAGAGGACCGAGAGCAGATGGGAAGTGCATCTGTTCCCTACCCTTTACTTGATCAACTTGTTTGCTATACGGAGCAACATAGTCATATTTACCCAGCGCTCAAAGTCTCCGACGTTGGTAATCCACCACTTCTTTTTTGCTCTCCTTCGCGTTCTATAGTTGACTGCCGCTGATGTAATAACGAACCATCATTCCATTGTATTTCGTAGCATTATTATGGGCTTTCTCTATAAGTATTTTGTGTTTGTCACGATTTTTTCATGCTGTCGTTGCCCGACGGACCTACTAAGTATTCTTTGGGATGATAATTTTTTAGGTGTTCGCTCTGGTCGATTTCAATTGGAAGTATTTAATTTGTCTGTTTATTGAGTTAATCGCTTGAGTCATCTTCAATTTCCTAATTTAGGCTTAGCTAAAAAAGGTTTAACCCTAAAATAATAGCGAGTTATTTGTGTTGTTGTTGATTTTTTAACCGCTTTTAACAAAAAGTGGTTTGAGGTTAAAGGTAATGTTTAGAACAAAACAAGGTCGGTTTTAAACGATATTAATCAAGTGTACTATGTCAACGAATGTGGAAAGCTTTCATCCTACACTGTCTACTTAATATTGAAGTAGGACCTGTACAGGACAATAATAATAGACGAAGAAGTGGCACTGCTTTGCGGAAGATTGCTGCTGCTGATTCCACTCCTGCCAACTTGCGAAGGATGGCTCTATTTACTCCTTTGATTACTTTAAAGGTCAGATTGACTGCGTACGTTTCCTTCATCTCAGGTATCTCATTACTCTGGGGGAGTTCAGCTTGAGGCGTTGCAGGAGTATAAGTCTAAAATAAGTATCGGCTTTGAATGTCCTTTACTTCTGTTAAGTACTTGGGCGTAGCTATCTAGATACATAACGATGTCGTCTACACAGAGGTTCATCATAAAAAATGATAAACCACAAATACAACAAGGGCCAAGAGGTCAGGGAAAAGTATTCAGCTATCCTTTTCTGTAAGTCATTTGTCAAAAATTCAACTATGTAAATCTTGCTTGTTGCTTGTCGATTTCACCCTATTTTCAGCTCACAACTCCAGCTACCTCCCACACTATCGTAAACAACCATCTGAAGCTCAGTCTGTTTGAAATACTTCTTCACTCTGCCAAGTGGCAGTGAATTTAAGACTTGAAAAAAGCCTAGGCTCGGTGTGAAGAACTACCAAACTATCAGGCCATGAAGTAATTAAAGATCTGCTTTGCTGCACCTTTTCTCTCTGTCGCCTTCTTTTCCAGTCTTCTTATCTTTTTGTTGTTTCCCATTGTCTCCACATAACATCTCGATAAGTTTTTACTACTATTATAGTTTGTGGGCGCCCAATCGTTGTTGTTCTTCATCTTCGCTGGAGTATCTACGCGCGGCACGTTCTCTGTCCCGTTGAACTCTGAGGTACTCCCTCTGGTCTCGTAGAACCGTTTCGTCGTCCAAAGGAGGCGCTTGTGGCTCCATAGACATTACGCGGGCCGGCCGAAGGCGGACATCATTTGAGGCTAAATCGTGCTCATACGGCATCCCGGCTTCCGAAGCGAAGTATCCTGGCGTGTAGGGCGGTGGGGGCTCTTCTGGAACAGAAGTATGCTATTAGCGTGTGAACTGAAATTAGACGCTAGGAGTCCGTAGTGCAATAAATTTAGTGCGCTAGCGTAGGTCTGAACCTTGTTCATTTTGACTGAACTTTAATGCCTACAGCTTCACGTTTGGCTCCGTTCAATAATAACCTAAAAAGTGGAAATGAAGCAGTAATTATATAGTCTTCATGGTTGCTCACGAGTTGCTCTCCTTTTTCCCCCAAGTAGTTTGTGCCCTATCGTAAGGTAGTAACGTATTTTGTCGCAACGAAGTCTTTCAACCACTTTTTGAGTTTTTGATCCGTGTTGAAAGTAAGGTTACGAAGATAGTTGCCCAGTAAGGGGAAAACTGAAATTATCGGCACAGGGTTTAGAGAATATGGAAGGAAACTGCAATAAAACCTTTCGTTCGAAACTCAGGAATGACAATGTATTAACGGCTTCGCATTGTTATAGAGCAAGATAACTTCATTTGTCGATTTTGGATAACCTAATTGAATTAACGTAACGAAGCCAAATTAACGTACCAATAAACTGGCCGGTTTGTAAGAAGCAATCTCTAGTCAGTCAGGCCCTCGCAGTCCTACCAAACAGCTCTTTTGGATGAACAGCTGGTTAAAGTTTAGAGCTTAATCACCCTCTTTTGCAGCCATCCATATCGATGTTCATGTTGATATACATACACTACTTTCTACTGTCGGTGACAATTAAAACATCATCAAGACCGTTAAAAATCGGTCCCCGCGACTGTGCGATACTTGATATTGGGCAAATCTCAAGTTTTTGTGTAAACGACGGTCGTATGACTGCCGCGTATTTTTCATAGCAATTCTTGAGTTACTTATCAGCCGTTTGCCTTCAAAAGGTTGTCATCAAACTTATATGGTCTATGAAATCGGGGGCATCATCTAGGTCTCGAATACTAACAAATCACTCTTGAGTAGTCATTTTAGCGATAGCAGTATTAATGACTAATGTCCGAGGCTGTTTCAGCAACGTTAACATATGTCAAAAATTTACGTTTCCACTGAAAACATCGATTTTTAAGAAATTTTTCTGAGGTTAGATTGCATTTTGAATAAAGAAAACGCTTCGAATTTTCTTCTAACTCGATAAAATAATGCTCACTCGAGCTACTAATGTGATGTACCCATTTACTTGGACATAAATTTTATGCATACGCAAAGCTTCGTCTTGGTTCACTAAACCGATCGAATGACTTTACCATATTCCTTGCGCATATATGGGGCAAACGTTTCCCTTTTCACATTGGGTACTTTATCTCGACTTTTGATATGTGTACATAGATACGTACCAACAGTACCATGAGCCACAAGTTTATACTTGAAGGAATGGTATCGATCGAGACGGTCCTTGGCCTTCTGGACGGCCCGTTTCGTGGCACCACCTCCTGTGTACTTCATCTCGTGCAATGCCGTAGTATGAACATCTGGAATTGCCTGTGTTACCTGTAAGCCGAATAAAAAAGAAGCTATATGCTTTGGCATGTAGTCAGCGTACTCATTTAAAGAATCTTGTATGGATTAGTACTTATGATTTAGATATCTATCCAACAACTGCACGTGGCGCGGCAATGACAAACACCGTTTATATATAAGCATATAATGTAAGTTAGAATCCTCATTTATTCGTAATTTGTTAGATATAAACAGATGATAAACTGACTGTAAGTAGAGTAGCATAAATATTTTGCTTTGGATCTTTGAAGAGCTTACTCTAGCTGAATACTGCATTGGCTATTAATCAAATGGACTGGTTTATGTCTAGAATACATTATTGAAAGCTACAACAAAAATAACAATAATAAAAGTAGTAATATAGATTTAGCTCTAATTAGTAAAAAAAAAAAAAAAAAAAGATAAGTCTTTGAGCCAAAAGATGTGCACGTTACAGTCGGTTTCTACACTCGGTTCAAAACACTTCTAAAACTATTTTAATTAAGTTCAATTTAGGACCAGTCACGATTTCTCAATCTTTTCTCCCCTTAGCTCAAGATAGGAACTTGCTAGCTTTTTTTGTGCTGCCACTACTGCGTCTTGCTAAAATAATAGATGTAATCTTAGGTTACTTACTTCTCGTTGGGCTTCAAAGATGATCGCCATCTTGTGTGCCATCTCCAGATAGCTTTCACTCAATTTACTTAGACCTTCCTTCAAACGAATAAGCTTGCACGCTTCGTTTTCTTGCATCTTTTCGACCGCATCGAATTGCGCCAAATCTTTTGCCCTCTCGGCATCTGTTAGTTTTGTTTCGAGACTGTTCAATTCTTCCACTGAAGCTTTCTGCAAGGAAAGGGAAGTATTTTTCTTATTGACGAGGGCACATCCGCATAAGCATACCCTTCCTCAACGACGTATCAAATTGAATGATACTTATGTACCTTCAACATACAGAGGCGCAGACACAATTACCCAGAAAAACAAACATTACATCTATAGAAAATTCATTGTAAAAAATGAATATACCCTTTATACATTTTATAGAACTACGACCTCTCCGTACTCTGATAAGCAGGCATGAAATTTATAATTTACAATACATACTGTGCCATACTGCAATACATTCGGTCACGTACATGGTTCGTCTCGCCTACAAAAGCCTATAGACTTACATATATATATTCATGCAAGTCACAACCAGATAATATTTCCCAAATTCAAAAATTGTGTGAGAGCTAAGGCGCGCCTGAATTTCTGTCACGCTTCGATTCTCTCCAAATGTTCCTATTAAAATCCTACAACAGAATTCGGTAAGGCGATGCTTCTGAACTGGAATGATTGTTTACTAGCTAACCTTGACGGCCTTTTTGAGCTCTTTCTTGATTTTGTACTCGCGCTGTTCTGCTTGAGCAAGCTTCCCCCGCGCAGCGTCTACCTGCCGTTCACCTTCCAAAATCATCTCAAAGTCATGCTTGAATGATTTTAGCTGATCTGCAATTGGCGGCACACCAATTCATTATACTCGACTCCGTATATTGTTTCGAACTGAACATAACACAGCCACGTTCGTAAGGTATAAATAGTAAAAACCACTTTACGGTTCAGCGACTACGCTAGCTTTGATATTTATGAGACGCAAATAATAATAATACCAATCCTTTGGGTCATCGAAAGAAAAATTAGTAACATGTGTTGATTGTTATATGGGTGATAGAATGACAGGAGGTCTTCACTTACCAAGGAAGTTCTTTTGTGAATCTGCCCAAAAAATGTGTAGCTCATTGATTTGCTCCATGACATCTTGGATTGCCCGATTTTCGTCCGTGTGCGACCACACCATCATATCTTGCGACACTGTAAGGGTCGCATATCCTTATCAGTAATAATATCTAAATCTAAAAAAAAATGTACATATGACGCGCTGTTGGTCGTTAGGTACGATGGTAAGAGAGATAAAATATATGTACAAGATGGATCATTTGTGCCGATTTTCCCTTATGCATTGTCTCTAAGGCTGTATCTAAAGAAAAAAAAAAGACATTTCAACAAGTTTTTTTTTGCTACAATAGCCGTTCCTAAACGGTCATCTTTATGCAAAAAAAAAAGCACCATTCACCGCGACTGCAGCCTGAGAGCGAGATCTAAATTATTGACTCGTAATTTTTAAAATTTTTAATAGTGTTCGTGCATCAAACGATATTAAGGCTCGCAAAAATGTCACCGTCGCTCAGATATGTTCCTATAAAATCGCAGCGAACAAAAGTCCCGTGAATGTTAACGGGCGCAAAATCCTAACAGATCGATTTCTATACTCCGAGTTATACGTCAGGCATTGCCCTTAGGCATTCCCTCAGACGACTGGCTCCCAGCACAAAACGAACTATGTCTATGCCTGAGTTTTAACCTATACCACAACGTGCCCCTAAAATTAGAGGGCAATTACGTTACTTACTATGGGAACAACATCACGCTCTAGTTAGTTAATCATATTCTTCTCTCCAAAATAACCGTTACTTTCCGTATCAGAAACCCAAATCTGTTTTTGGAGATCTTTCAGCTTGTTCCATAAAGTCTTTTTCAGATTCTCCAAAAGACAGCATAATAACGCAGATCATCAACTACGAATAATAAACAAGTCTTTGATCCGAGTTGGAATTTGCCTAACGGATCAAAATTGGTGAACAGGTACAGTCAAAACCTCGAAAACTATACACTCATTTTCGCCATAGTGTTAGAAAAAGCTGGTTCCCTTCTCGTATTAGGAAAGCAGACGAGAGCACGTCTGTATGTAGAACATCCCGCCAAGTCAATGCGAATATGTAGCTCTCGTACCCGGTACATATATACAGTCTTAATTTCTATTTACTATATCTAATCAAAAGTGTTTTTTTTTTTCTGAGTTACTAAGACGAATGAAGGAAATAGCAAAAAATACCAACAGTTTTCAACTATCTATTTTTTTAGACTCGTCTGTTTCCGATGACGGACTCTTTTATCAGCGACCCTTCTATTTGATAGAAGTGTTTCTGTTGCTTACTGAGCAAATGAGGTAATCGCCGAGTTACCGACACGTGTATATTTGGCCCACCGAATCATTTGTAAGTGACACATCTGACATTATGCATACAATAAAGCCAAACGGACCGCCGCAAAAAAAGGGTTGATATAGTTGGCGCTATAAAAAGTTTGTGAACCAAAACTAACCAAGTGAACAAAACATGAAGACCCGTGTCCATTTCTTTATTAAAGATTAAAAACCAAAGAGTAGAATCAGTTGATTCCTCAGTATGTAAATGGATGGATGGCTGGCTGAAACGCCAAAATGCGTCAATAGAACCATAACCGAAAAATAAATCAACACAATGAAAAATAGGAGCACAGCTGTATATGAAAATGCCTTACGGGGTCGATATTAAGGCAGAGCAGGTCGCAGCGGTTGGACAAGATAAAAATGTCACCTGACAATATTGTACTGAGAACGAAAAAAGACGCTACGATATGCAGAAGAAGAAAAAAGTAGTCTAGAAGATCGCTTAGGATCTATTGACGTTGCGTATACGAGCATGAAGCGGCACGTCAATGGTTTAGGGCGTATCGTGGCGTAAAAGAAAATTCAAAATCTATAAACTCACCAGCGGTTTGCGCATTCTGGAACGATTTTAATCCTATACGCATATCTCTGATTCCGGAAATAACCAACGCCAGATCGGTGTGGCCAGAGTTAATCGATTTCAGACGGACTCCACTCCTAAAGTTACAGTATAGTACGTTTCGTTAATTGTTTGTATATAATAGTGTCGTTAGCTAGGAAAACTCAATTATTTCCAATCGTTAGCCTTTGCTGATAAGAGCGGATTTTAGCTGAAATGTCCAACCATCCTTCTTTATTGACGGATGTTAGAATCGTTTTTAGCAACAATAAAATGTAATTTCTCCCAAGATGATTTTACGTTGTTTATAAAGCAAAACAATATATGCCTTGGTCTACAACGTAAACAGAATATGTTAAGAGCTGTCAAATTTTAAGACATTGTTTTACCGTGATTATCTAAATTGTCCTTTTAAAAACAACAGAACTACCTTTCGGTTGGCTCTTTTTTTTTTTGTTAGGTGAACGTATAACGCAGAATTTGCCAGTAGTGCCATGACAACGACCAGAATCAAATGTAATATTTTAAAGGTTTTATACAAAAGCTAGTGAAAATTGTTTTCAATTGATCTCTCCCGTTTCTATTTCAATTGAGCTTCAAACACTTGCTGAGACAAATCACGCTGGTTAACCGTGACACCAAAATCAACCAGGCGGGAAGATATAAACGTACTTGCAACGTGCAGACTCTTCAGCGGTTCATAGCTTTGTCTCGTGATATTCTCGAATAACGTAAAACTCAACTATTAGTTACATTAGTCCTCTGTGTTCCGAATTTTACGTCTGGTATAGCCATTAGGACTGCTATTAGACGACAGGATGAAACGAAGTGTGCATTACGCCCGGATTTCGAACTTAGATCAGAACGTGTCCCTGCACGAAAATACGGTACCTATTAAGCTATCAGGGAGATTTGCTAGATCGATCTATCAATTGGTAACGGTACCATACTAGCTGTGGCTGAATTATAACGATCAATATTCGAACGAGAGATTCCCGGACCTAGCGATGTATCCAAATTCGAAGAGGGCCATTTATAATAATTGGATATTCATATTAAATTCGTTACGCCACCTCCGAGCGAAATATATACTCGGTGATCGATGTCATATGAAGTTTTACTCCAAGAAAAAGGGAGGCAGTGTCTTCAACGCAGTTCTGATCCCCGGTGCCCTACAGTAAAAGGGTTCGTCACAATGCCAAGTCTTTGAGAGCAAATGTATAAATATTTTGAAAAAAACATGCTGAGCACACACTCTTTCAACTTTCCGGAAACGAAATAATGGTGTGACTTTAATAATTAATTATGATACTGCGTAGTCCTTTCACTGCCATAGCATTTGTTTGTGCAGTTTCCTTGGCGCTAAACATTCTATCGGTCCGCTGCGCAAACCCAATAATGATAGAAGTACGCCAGTACAAGTCCTAAGTAAACACGTAAGCTATTTATATACAGTATCGGTAAATGCGGCCGATGGCTCGTTTCTGAGTTCACGCAGTGGACATAACTGCTCTACAGCTCAATCCTACATACCATACGTATCTAAATTATACTACTATCTTCTAAACCTTTTCTATTTCCGTTGTTTCTACACTATTATTTAGATATGTTCAGAATGACGTACGTTTCGTAGACACGTATCCGTATAATGGTTTGAGATTAGTTTTGCTAACGCTGCTCAAACAGTAGTACATTTCACTCATTTCAAGTATAAGTGGTCCCCATCCAAGTTACACACCCGAAATGTCATCCAGTTCTCTTCTTTGTATGTGAATAAATTGAATGTAATATGTTTTTATTCCGTAAATTAATAAACACTTTTGTTAGATACACAATAGGGAAAAACGCCCAAAATATACATAAGCAAGCCATCGATACATGTGAACTTAGATCAAGTAAACTTACACTACACGTCATGGGCGTTCAGGGAGATCACAACAAAGTAATAACAGTTTTACTAGTAATCATAAAAATAGTATCGAAGAATACATATTTAATAGCTACATTTAATTACTAATCGATCTCGGAACTATTGTGAGCAATAAAATTTTATTTAAGCATATTCGATTAGAACCTACTCGAATTAATCAACCGCTTTCTATTCCGGATTCCCTGTTGTATCATATTATTATATATTAAATTAAACGCATCTTTAATGACTACCCTATGGCGTGGAGTTCAACAAATATCTTAACTTACCTTCGAATGGCTCTTGTAGCTTTATCCATATCGAATTTTGTAGGCCTACTGCCGCAGCGTTGAGAAGGGCCCGCTGACAATTTCTTTCCTATTGCGGCTTGTACCGTAGCGTGCTATGACAGCCTAATTTTAGGCAGTACACACAGGTACGGGCTCCAGTCGGTCAGTAGTTTAGCTTTTAAGCGATACTATTAGCACAGCTGTACAAAATACGCAGGCACTACCGGAGACGCCAGCATAAGCTCCGCCTAGACACGACAAAACATACAAGGAACACACACAAAAGATGACGACAGATGTTCATCGTGGGCCAAAGGGGGACATGCGCGTACGTATACCCTAAATCACTAGCTTCAACAACAGATGACGGACTCGGCACGAGCACCACACGAGCTCACCATATGCAGCAGTCGTAGAAAATCGATTATAAATAGAAGTAACACCCAAGTAGAAACCCACTGTGAGGGGACGGAAATCTTAGGAAGCAGACAATCCGAACTTGCCGTAGGAACTAGACAGGACGCGGCCTACTAAGGTTTTGTAACAAGGACATTGTTTGACCGAGCAGTTAACATCCGCTACATCTCAAGCAACTGACCGAGCAGGCGCTCTATCTACAGAAGTTTATTATCTCTATTCGAAATGGCAGTCAGAAAGTGTAGTAAGCCCTTTCCATTGAGAAAGGGATCGGTTCCCGAGTGTCTCAAGTTAAAGAGGTCGCGAAAAGTTGATTCTTGATGTATACCCGAATACCCCCCCCCCCCCCCCCCGCCAGAATAAATTACTAGGTAGGTTTGCCACAAAGCGAATTCTCGTGCGTAGTAAAGGTTATGTGTGAGTCATTTATTTAAAAAATCTTCGATAAGCGTGGTATCAAGGGGGGGTCGCAGTGACCTCATCACCAGATGTGCTAACGATATATCAATGATATTTTTTGTTGAACGGAAACCGATAGTGGTACATACCGATATGGTTTTAGAATGCATTGCAGATCTTTATTGATTTGCTTTTAGTCTTATTTGAATAGTGATCACTCGAGTCGAAAGACTACACTATGGGCTAACCATTCGTTGAATGTGTAGTATTGCATGATTGCAAAATAATAAAATTAACTAAATTTTTACCAAATCTATCGTAGCACCTCGTTTTACCCTGTACAGGTTAATAGTTCCATTGTAGAACAAAGACTGTAAAAGCTGAACGCGCCGGCGTGCAAAGACACCCAGCTTCGGCATTTCATAGGTACGTATTGTATACGTATTTCAGCTTCGAGACACAGCTGTGTTCATGCAGCGTGTACGATCAAGCGCACGCTCTCGCTTTTTCCTATAAACGAAGACCTCTGTGCAAACTTTCACTTGGCCAAACCTGTTTTTCTAATCTGATTATAGAATGCTGCTCCAAGGCATCGTCCTTACCAATGTTTAGCAGAACATTCTCTCGTATCTTGACGTGTTTGCAAAAAGAATGAACGTCTTCGCCTCAGGATTCGCGGTTACGGCCAAGTCACCTATTTTAGCCGTCAGATCTATAATACCACACTGTATCAGTTCGCTGCCTTATCAATAATACTATTTATACCTCTATAATCTGTATGATTTAAATAATAATATGAAGAGAAAGGTCTAGCTTGGGTATATATATGTCATAGTAAAGAATATTGTCTTATCTTACAATTTATTAGCAAATATTGAAAAGTTTTGCCTATTCAGCTGTTTTGTGTCGCTGAAGTCGTCGCAATAGAAAAGCAGGCTATAGCTTTCGCCTCTAAGCTACACGACGAACAACGGATTCAGCGTCACCTTAACCTTCTAATCGATTGTGTTCAGCCACAACCACAGCCACAGCCTTGTCACTCTTTTTAGAGATTTGCTCGCTTTCAATGCCAACGAAGACCTTGTCTAGTTTTCTTTCAACACATGACACGCACGAGGTTCACGGTCGATATATATATACGAGTTTATGTAAACCTCGCCGGTCAATGCGGAGTATCCATAAACTTTTGAGCCTGGTCTAATGATATCTCGCAAACTTTGACGCTGTTCATATGTCAGCAGGCCCGATGACGGGCGTACACAGCCAGGTCTACAGATGATCCTATTCAACAAAGGCCTAGATACAATGAATCGATACTAATTGTTGATAATTAATAATTTAATATATTGTCCAAAAGATTCGCTAAATGATATGCACAGAACCACGCTACGTATTTTGGATGCATCGTATATCCGGTAAATTTTTTCAATTACCTTCGAATTATGCTTACTCTGTAAATTCTCTAAACATAGCCGCATTCGAAAGGCCTTCGAACGAGTCGACAGCAGAACCCTAACACCTGACAATAAATTAGGATCGCATATTACTTAGATAACGTTATATGAATGTATTTAAATGTATGTAAAGCCTCATCTAAACTTAGACAATGCAGAAAGGAGGTTTTAGCAGTTTGGTCTAATTGTAAATTATTCTATACTGCATAAATAGGACAGCAATTCAGCCCTATTAACAGGACTGCATAAAAGAAAAATTAGATTCTTCTATTCAAAGCGTGTAAAGAAGACCTGCATAAGGATCTAGTATACGTATAAACCTTACCAGTATAACGTTATGTCTTTAGAAGTATATGAATTTATAAACAGAGTTAACTGTGCACCGAAGCTTTTGATTAATATTGGAGTTTGTACACGGAAGTATCTAGTAACTTTTCCAATAAGAACTTAATTCGTTTGATATTTAGTCTGCCAAAATATTGTGGTAAAGCAGGTTGAATAGAATACCTTTGACATGTGGCCTTAGTAAACGAAGAACGAATTTACGTAAATTTAAGCTGTCCTGAAGATCTAATGAAAAGTGATTGACGATAGTCTTCATGATCGCCCTGTAAGACCAACATTAACAAGTACCCCCAACATAATGTAGTAGCAAGCTCAACGTATTAATGCATTAGATAGATAATCGTATCTTTTTTAACAGTGTAATAAGTGAGAAGAAGATGATAATTAAAAATTGTAGGGACGGTGCCTAAATGTTTTTGCGGTCGCTTGCAGTTTCTTGTGGTTTCTGGATTAACAACAGAAATGTGTGCGTGACCATGAGTTATCAGTACTTATTTTTATGCGAATTTTTATAAAGTCCTATTATTCGCACATGGAAACCAGCTGGCCAAGAAGGTCGACTGTAAGCTTTGATATAGCTCGTACATGACCTCAGCTTCTACGGTGAGGACATGATATTTTTTAGGACGCTAGAAAAGCGAAACAACGACGGAGCACAAGAAGCCAATTAGCTCGTGAATGCACCGCGTCTCTACGTTCGGGTCCGCCTTCAACCCGTATCATCGTGATGCCAGTGGCGGTTCGTTTCACACACGACAATATACTACTAATTAGGCAATCGTCCATGACTGAATTAGCCTTGTTCAACAAAGTTGCTCCAGTAAAAATTAGCTGAATTTACAGGTGGAGTTTTTCTTGTAGAAAAAAGTTGAACCATACGGTAACTTAACAGGCTAAACTGTCGCCTACGCGATTAGGCGTCGTGAGTCAAACATCTTGGATGCTTCCGATGGTTTCTAAAAGACAAAGAAGATTTCGCACTTGCGTGTTCGGCGCGGGGTGAGGAGATGTTTTCTCTTGGTCTTCTCTACGAGAGGTTAACAGGTCGAGCTATGATTTTGAAAGACTCAGACGACCTTTAAATGTATGGCAAACAAGCGTACCATGTAGCCGAGGCATAGGAGGCAAAAGCCTTTTCCATATATCACTTAGGTGGACGTGTATTGTTTCACGGACGCAACCGAACAGTATGTCAGCTAAACAACTTCTATCTGGCACTTGCAGTTATTCTTATAGAGAAAAAAAAAAGACCTTCAAAAGCGTGCGTATCTTCTTCGTAACAATGAGTGTCCGCCGATACCGTTTCGCTATGTACAAAAAAGCGAAAGAGCTTTGAAATCTAGAGATTGACACAAAAAAATAGCGATTCGGACAGGGCCATTCTACGAGTGTAGGCTAATAAATAATATAATGCATTACCCGGTATAGGGCTTTTGATCTTTACTGGACGCCCGGAATTTAGTCAACAATTCAAACGCGATCGACGAAAACGTTTACGGAATAGAACACTATTATCTACCACGAGTTGAATAGATCACGGCCATTTCCAAAAATAGAAAAAAGTTGGAAACAGACCAGTCGCTTATGAGTGGTGCCAGGCCTTAAAATAAGAAAGTCCACTACCAGGTGAAATATTGGTAGATATCTTTAAAATCAGTCGGTGAGCGTTGGCCAGTAACGGTTGTATGTAACACTCGTGACTCGCAGTTTTCAACGATTAACGTAATCATTTGACGAGCCACTTTGGTAAACCGCTAAAGCTAACGCTAACAGTTCCCGTTAATACGTCCTAAGACAATGACATATTTTTCACTGGACGTAAAATCAAAAAACACGGAATACTCTACTCGACTTGACAATTAGAAGACTTTGTTTCATGTGACATAAATGAATAGAAAACTTATAGTATAGAATTATAGCGTGCCCGTTATTGTCGGATAGACGCGCGCACGATTATCTCGTGCGATCCAGCTTGCACTACCGATTCCATCTCATAGCAGTTACTAGTTAATTCATACCTATTTGTACCAGCTGACGCTTATTTATAGTTTCTATTGCCATAATTATAATGATTACTATTATTAGGCATGATAATAAACCCAGTAGAAGCTGTGCCACGTATTTTTGACAAAACTAACCGTTACCAGTGGTACTTACAATGCAGACAAAAGCTGCTCTCATAAACGAACGCTTCATTCTATGGTAAGATCTACCTTCAATGATCTAATGCTGTCGAGTTTTTTCTCGGACAATTTTTAGTCAGTTTTTTAGACAATTATTAGTTAAGCTGACAAAATTTTCGTACGCACGTATTCGTTCTCTATGACAGAGTCACTTAATCATATCTTTCGTTACGTGATATATATATATATATATATATATAGCTATTTAACGGAAACAATGTCCTTGATAGGTTTCTAGTATGCCAAAAAGGCAGTCGAATCAAATACACACTGTGACTAACACATTGGCGAATATTGATTGATAATAATCTATCCGTGTACAGGATAACCAACTAATACGTTTTCAAGTTTAAGGATAAGTTTTTATTGAATAAAAAATACCGGACGTAAAGGCAGCTTGTTGAGGCTTCGTAGTTGTCTGCGAGCCGAAAAGAACAACAGTGCACATCCCTGCATTCGAACTCATACGTATACTGTTATCTACGAGCATTACGGTTACCCTATATGGGAGCGTTCAAAGATCGTTACCCAAACGTTTCACCGTACACTCATTTCTTTTCGCTAGCCAACGAATCCAGCGCAAGCGATCCCTCACGAACCTTGCCAGCTCGAAGAAGCCCTCGTTTTTTCGTTACAAAGTCGAACTCCGCCCGACAACAAGTATATAGATTGAAGTATATTCACACGCAAGTAGCACGATGCAAAGCGTAATCCTTCGCAATCAGGTAGTAGCATGGAACAGATATCGGCATCGACAGATATGTAGCAAAAACACACACAGAATTAACATACGCTTCCTCTCACAGCTGACAACAATCCCGAGTGCATGACGCTGGCGCTGATGGTACGTCCGCTATAACACCTCGTCGTTAGCCATCTGATGTCTCGATTTTGGTTCCTTCACAGTTAGTGGTGGACCGATAGTTTGGGTACGAAAAAGCCGTTCGATGGATGATCGACTTGAACGTTGCACGAAGACGAAACGCGGCAAGTTTTCGACTCTCAGCTAGCAGCCTTAGTCAAAAGAGGGAAGCAGCACTCGTGAAAAATGGTTGTCCTACCCAGGTCCTATCTCTTCGTCAAAATTTGTTTTCTCTATTCCGTCGAACCACGGCCTCGAATGTAACACAGCGTCAATGTTCGGTTGTAGCCTGCGTCGCCGCTGCTACTGTTGTCGTCAATTTTTGGGATCGCTTTGCTTCACTCGTACACACGCTCTTCTTGTCCCGATCTCACTGAAAAGTCGGGTAGCAGCAGCAGCAGCAGCAGCCGGAAGCGCCCTGCTGCAGAAACCGGTTAGATGTCTCCGGAACGCCGACCACGCTCCTCAAACTACCCAGGGGTGGTTAGATGCCCAAAGTGGCCAAGAGCACGAGCACTACTCCATTGTTCAAAGGAAGGCTTCCTCTGCTTGATCGACCGACAGGCGAGCGGTCGAATAAACAATGGCTTGGCCGTCCTACGCTACCCTCTCCACTTCACTCTCCCATGAAGCTCATCTATGAGCTTTCTCACGAAGCGCATACAAAGCGAGATGGCGCATCGGTAGACGTAGATCTTCGAATAACTACCGACTACCAATGTGCGCATCCGTGTATAAAGCCGTGCCTGTTCCGAATGGCCTGTAGATCTGTTGGCTGCTGAAGTGATGCCCAGCGGCCTCTATAACCTGATAGGTAAGGCCAGAGAGGGACTTCAGGCAGGCATTAAATAGCTCGAAAGCGGTATTCTGCGAATCGAAGTCGATAGCTGTTGGAGGGAAAAGCAAAGCCAATGAGCAGCGCATCTCTGCACCGCGTCCTCAGCAAGAAAAGTTCATATTTTCTATTTAAGTAAATTAAATAGGTGTACGTTTGAGAAAAGCAAATATTTACATTAAATATAAACAGATCTTACGCAAATGTTCAATCGAACAGGGAAACGCGAAGCTTTTTCTCTTCCGAAAATAGAGTTGCTATCAGTGACGCTTTTACTGAGCTTAGCTGTGATAATATTTTAGGCGCATCCGAGCTGAGAAGGATTTGTATTGTATTTAATGTATGTTAGTAAGTAACCTGCTTTATGATGCAACTTTTATTTGGACACATTGTCTTTTGCTGCTTTTTTCCTCATGCTTAGATGCTGATCAGATAGCATTATAATTAGTAAATCGTTGATGGCCGTTAGATACATTTTCTTACAGCATGTGGAATAGAAGGGACCGAACTAGCCCAAGCATTTCGTCTATAATAACATCCGTGATCCAATCATCCTTTGATAATCTTCACACTTAGAACTATTCCACTGATCCGCTTCAGAGAAGACAATCGTTGGACTACATAAATCCCTTAACATATCCTGTAGCCAAAGAGGCAAGCTATCCAGTGATCCGGAACCCAGTACTCTGCGAAGACACAGAACCACTTAACCTCGTATCGGTTAAATGACAAAGGGTGCAAAAACTAAATGTCATATTTAAATAAATTCATATTGAAAAAAAAAATCCAAATTTGTTAATTTTAATGATAATTAGTAATGATAAAACGGGCGCGCATCTGTGATCAGTCTTTTTGGGATTCATTCACAAAGTTATATATATATATATATATATATATAGAATATTGTATTCGTCTTCGCCAGTTTTTATCTAAAGTTACGGCATTGGAAAATACCAGCAATACACTATTAAGTAATGCTGTTAATTATTTGAAATCACCTTAGGAGAAATCAGTTTATTTTACCCGTTATCAAAAAAAAAAACGTTTTATCCGCATTTCGCGTCGATTAATCAACGGTTTTATTTACGAACATCACTTACGTCTAGGAACATGCACTATAGTAAAATGGCGTTTGCCCCTTAATTGCAGAACGAGAACTAAAATGCATAGGAAAAAGCTGTTAACTATAAGTGAAAGCTCAGTATATGCGTGGTATCTACGTTCAGCTATAAAGACGCAATTTTTGCTAATTATTCAGTCGCAATAATAGTCCCCTGGCGCAATGATGTCAATCAGATTCTTCACTGCCCTGTTTACTGAGTAAGTTCGACTGTGTAATCTGGCATAGCTAGCCTTTTAGGCTCAAACAGACTGTACGTTTGATTGCTTAATGTCGTTTTTGCCAAACAACAAGCTACTTACAAACTGGAAATTGACAAACATATATATATATATATATATATATATATATATATAGAAATCGGACGGAGCAAGTTTGCCTCCGGATAATGTGGTTGCCACTGAAGTCGTCTCATGGATCAATCAACAGTGCTATAGTCTTCGAGGCTAGAGTATTATCAATCGCATTTGGTAAGCTTGAATATTTGAAAGTATGTATTCTGTGCGATTGCGGAAAATCACAGAGAATTTGTAGAAATATATAAAAATAAATTTCTTCTCATCTCTCATATCTGTTCGTTCGTTTATTTTTAGGATTGCTTTGTTTGTTAGTGCTGAATACAGGCCGATCTTGAACCCTAGATATGCTTAATTTGCTAGTGATCAGGACTGTTTGTGTTCTATCATCACGTGCTGCAATTGCTAGCACAATATGCTAGAAGGTTCGTCTGTAGCAGTCCGTCACTCAGAATTCAAATCCTTCCAGACAGGACCGATCCGAGATGCTGAGAAGTAACGGGTCTTTTCCACGCTCGCCGTATTATTCCATTAGTAAACTTAACTCGACTGGACCGCGCACAGTGTGGCGTCGAATAAACAGGAGTTTTAGAAGGTTTACATTCAATTGATACAATGTATCTATCCGTCACTCGTAATTATTGCCGAGTATAATTAGAATATAATTATTACTATTAAAAAAAATATGCGAACTTATTGCCGCCAGACGTGTGTATACACTTGAACCAATGCTTCCCTAGACTTAGCGTTCAGATTCTACCATTTTTAAATCTGCATCATCTAAATATAGGTAAAGGCTTGATAACGATGCGGGTAATCGTTTCGGATTGCTTCTATGTGCATGCCCACATGATATCCATGCTTTTACCTTTGATACCCATTTTCGATTTGTTGTACAGCGACTTATGCCTGACTTGTTGTTACAAGGCCTGTGACCCAAGTTTAGAAATAGTCGTTCATATAAAAGCGTGCAACTAATTTAAAATGTCTGGGCTTGAATAAACAGTACGGAGTGCTGCTAGCGGCGTGACAGTTATCATCGCAAGCTCGACTGCTTATGTTTGTCGCTTGTATTGACTAAGCCTTTTCGTTTCTTTTTTGTCGGCTGCCTTTGAAAAGGTCGGGGAAAAATGGCGGGTAAACGGCATTTTTGTATTTCGAGCTTAACTCTCAGGCAGCTACCCTATTAAACCTTTTGTCATTCTGTACAGGCGTTCGACGTGTATCAAGACGGCCCACTGCGCATAAGGAAGAACTAAGCCACGATGATTATAACGATTATGATGATTATAATACTACGATGATCATGTCTATGCAATAATTTGCAGAAAATAGCAGTTGTCGGGGATTCCTTCAACCTTCGGCCTCCTCTGCGTGACCTAGCGTCTATCTGGGTATGATGAAAGTATTCGAACGGCTCGCTCCGTGACATTTGAAAATATATCGGTGTGAGAATGGAAATATGTGAGGATGTGCGTGTGGATAGATGATCGTTTTGATCTTTGTGTACCCCCTCTTCTTCTCCTGTTCTGCGGTCTCGATTGCAACTACCAATCGTCGCAGGTGAAAACAAGCGAAGGAAGGCTTATTTCAAGGTGACGCTGCTGCTGCTGCTGGTGATGACCCTCTGTGTACTTACTCATCGCTAGTCAGCTGCTCGGAGCCGCGGTACACAGCTGTCTGCTTCCGTCACAACATTTGTTCGGCCGACCAAGGTCCGTTTTTTCTCTTATTAGCAGCTTCCTCTCCTGGAAGCTACTGCTACTGTCTCTTGATTCAAATCCATTCAGTCATTAAACTGTCAACTGGGCTAACCGCAAGATGATTCCTAGCGCCATTCTCTCCGTTAGACTTGTCCGCGGACCCCAATTCAGCGGGTGCAAGGGCCCTTGGACAGCTTTGTCGCAGCTGTAGTTACCGTTTCTGCTATCGAAGACAATCCTTCCCTACTTACTTTCTTTCCACAGCGACCTGTCAATGCCTGCTACCAACCGAATAAGTAGCAACTCCAAGTAGCCATTAGTCCGTCCGGCTCCTGGCCATTTCGCGCCGTCTTGCCGCAGCTGGCCGTGCTACCATCAGCCTCAAACGTACTAACTGTCCGAACATTGCTCTGCTGTGCTCCGTAGAGTTGCGCGCGCCGCGACCCATGCATCGCCGTCACTCCGCCCGTCCCAGACACAGCAGATCCGGGCAAGTTCGTATGTTAGAGTATCTCCTTTGGTTTACCATCGTGTGTCTAGTTTGTACCCTCTGTTACTCGCTAGCCGCCGCTATACTTCGCACAGCAGTCGAGACGTGTCGTTCTCACTGCTCCCACTGCTGGTGAAGTCCGTCGTCCGCCAATATCGTCATAGTTGCCGCCGCCGCCGACGCCGTTAGCTCCCTCACTGCTCGGTCGGTTGAGCGGCCTACTCGTTAGTACGGACGTACGTTCGGCTGCTGCTGCTTTTCGCGGCGGGAAGCTGCGTGCGGGCGTTTGAGCGCGAATCTGCGGCGGTTCGGGTGGATGGTGAACTACTGTTGCTGTCGCTGCTGGGCCAATCCTTTCTCTCACCTCAGGCGCCTCGACACCGCCGCGCTACCCAATCATCGCTGGTAGCGTTCATCGTGAGGAATGACGACGGTGCCGGTGCAATGGGACAAGTTTACGCGGAGCTCTTCGGCGCGCCACAGAGCTCTTCGAAGAGCTGTGGCCCTCATCTTCGTTGTGGCGGTATTCGCTGGCGTCGAGCTCGTTGCCGACTGGAAGAAACAAGGTGAGTTTAGGTGCTATTGTTTCGGCTGCCGCTGCTGCCGTAATACAACCAACTTTCAGCAGAAGTAGAAGTTATAGAAATAATGTGATGCTGGCCGGGCGTTAGCAAGAGTGGCTCTGGTAGGCTAACTTGTCCTCTCTATTAGCCGTGACATAGATATACACACACATACATATGTATATCTATGAAACCCGTTCAATAATACGTCAGTGGTGATAAGGTCCAAATGCGTGAAAAAAAATCCGACGACCAAAGCAAGCCGCTTTACTGTGAAGCGTGGTGCATCATTAAAGAAAACCCCAGCATCACCAGTCGACTGTGTTTGATGCACTGGCTAGAAACAATGAAGTAGGATAATTACTAGTGTGTGAATATGTACGCTGTTTCTTAGTGCGACAATTCTTGCATAGCCTTGGGAATTCGGGGCTGCTGCAATACGGGGCTACGAAAGCAATCGTATCTTTAGCTTTGGCTAAAAGAAAGTAGAGTGCTATGAGACTGCGCGCGATTGAGGTAGTCAGGCCCCTAGAGAAACGGTATGCGACAGAGAAAGCCAAAGAAGGATCAACGATGGGAAAGATAACAGGAGGTTCAAGAGTCATTTCTAAAGACTCAAGATGCTCCTATTATAAACTCGGTGATTGGTTGCTCTCTGTGTATGCTAGTACGTATGAGGCGCGCTGTGAGTTTACTTCTGAACCGTGTTCGCCAAACAGCTTTATGCATTTCAATTCCGTTTAATCCTGTAATCATCACCGTGAATGCCCTATCGATGGAGGAACCTATTCGAAGGTTATCGTAAGGGCGCAACAACCTCGCGAAACGCTCAGAATGAACTCGGCGTATGTGTATTATCTGTGAGTCACCCCAGTGGAGTTGAGGGCACGACAATTTGGGCATAGTTTGGCGCTAATGCTATTTCACACACACCGCTACCACAACGGCTGTTATGATGATTATTATACAACGTACAGGCTTTCTCCCCTCGGGGTTTCTGGCGGTATCCGCCGTCGGCTATGAACGATCTATAGGAAAATATTGTTAGCTTAGAAGGACTACCGTTCAATTTAGGACATGTGTTTTTAAGCGTTGTGCCTATAGAGGTTGTGCCTCTGACCTATGAAACCGAAACTCGTGTATGTTACCAATAAAACGGTCCGCAGAGATTGATAAGCTATAAGACGACGGGAGCGGTGTTTAGTTCATATAGGCTTTCCTCCTGATGTAACACAACTTCCCTGCCTAAAGACGTGTGACGTAATCTGTTTAGATTTTATTGATATATAACAGTGTTATTCTGAGTGGCTTTCAGAAAATTTGAAGTACTATACATATCGAATAATTTTATAATATTACCTATGCTGTAAATATATTTGAGAACTATATTCATTAATAGAGTAAGTTACGCAGTGAAGTAATGAAATGTTGCAATTTTTAATGGAAATCAAAAAACTTCGACTGATGTATGCGAAAGGTGAAAATAAGATCAGATCAGCTTTGCCACTGAAATTCCTAATTGTGGTTAGTCCGCTTGTAACTTATAAACTCAAATCAGCGCTACATATATTCAATGAATGAACCGTATAACAATGTATTATACAGAGTCCACAGATCTGCACCGGATCCGAGTTTAAACGGCAGTTTTAAGTGTAAATCTAATAGTATCTGTTTAAATCAAGAGGCATATTTACCCCCATATGTATTGTATATCACAGTGACGTTAAGAACGTCTCGATAACGAAGTACTCATACTGAAACACACGCATTTTTGTTGGTGGGTTACCAATATACTCGATTACGATAACACTAAGAGAATGGTGGCTGAGGGCAGGTACGATACGATTTAGATGATTTTTTGTCAGGAAAACACACAAGTTATCACTGCAGTCTGAGCGCTAATTGAAGTAAAACTGCTACTTACCCGTGCATAATCTTGCAACCAATACAGGTAATAAATATTGTCATCGAAACAAATAGTTGTCACGCTAGAGAAAAAAAAAACTTGGGATAAACCTTCTAGTGAATTCACTTACTCGCCTCAATCAGAAAAAAAGTTAAGTTATGCATGTGCCTCATAGCTATACAAATAGTAAAATGCCTACCTTGTACAAAGATTTTCGTAGTGGTTCGATGACGGTGCTTACTTCACGCAGCGACGCGTCATCGGTGAGGACAAGCTGCGCTTGCGATTATGAAGCGATCTGAACTATACGAAATGATGTGTATAGCTTTTCTCTTCGTTTGTTTTTCATTGGGTCCAAGACTTGTTGGAGCAAGAAGAACGGACTCTGGTGGAAAATAGTATATACACCCAACGGGCACAAGTTTCATCCCAGGTTATGATGCTTTGCTTAATCAAGTCGGCAGGGATTTCGAGGCTGTTGGTCGGCTCCTCATCTCCGTATGTTCGCGAGAGCCTTGGCCAGAACTCTGTACAGTGTAAAATCTGTGTGAAATCTGTGTAAGGAGCTGAAGAACAGTCGCCCTGCTCTATAGAGGTCGGCAAAAAAAATATGCATATTGAAATTTTCCTGATCATCAACAATATCTTCTTTACAAAGCCTATCTATGTATATAAAAAGTGGGGATATATATATATATATATATATATATATATAGAGTTAAACTATGCAAGCATTATTGACATTATTACAGACAACTATTGTTCCTGCGGCTGTCACTAGTTCTATGTTAGTATGAAAATCGGTGGCGCAGCAACGAAAAAAGCGTTGCGGCGCAAAACTTATATGACGCTCCCCTATATGACAATGATTGTTTGAGCCGACTTAAAATAATTCAAGGTTTACGTGCCGTTGGACATTCCATCGGACGGTTAGCTCTTACCAGCACGAAGTGAGGTGTGTCCACGGCCGGATCTGGACCCAGATCACCAGCTTTAGCACACAAATGTTACCCACTAGGCCATCAGGGAAACTGATAACGCCGATGATGTCTACGGTATGAAATAAATTAAATTTGCGTATATGTGTCTAATGATTACATGTACCAACGTGAACGTGTACGCTCATCTAAATAATTGCTACCCTGATTATGAGTGCAGAGTGTTCTTTGATCTGAATAGCTCTCATTGACCACACGGCCTTTATGGAAAAGTTAACTGCAGCTTAAACAGCAAAAGCGCCTCCTTTAGCGATGAGTAAGCTATTTATAGTTAGGTTGAATTGCGTTTTCTTAAGGAGCGTGGATCAAAGTTGCGCTTTGGCTTCTTTTCGTAACATTGCTAAAAGTTGTGAGTATATTATTTTAGTTCTCGTTTTTTTTATTTTCTCTTGTTTATGACACCATATATATATATATATATATATATACATATATAAGGCTGGCACACTAGTTATATAACAGAGTAAGACTATTCCTTATTATAGCTTTTCTATAATGCCGCTGCGGCCTTTGTAGAACCGCGAAAACATTGCGTTTGTTGTCGAGAGGTTAAGTTTGTCAGACAAATGGTTGCGGATTGTTTTGTGTCGTTCCCCCTAAAATTAAACGAGTCTGTCCAGAAACATGCATCCGACTCCACTCGGATATTTAGGTATTACTAGGAGTGCATTGGCAGTGCAATGTAAGAAATTTGCTACGATCTTTCAAATGCGTACTAAAACCTTTACATCTAAGGCAGAAGATTATAGTGGATCTCCATAGGAAGCTATGAATCTAGCCAAGCTGTAGTGTTGATGTATGCCAAATTAAGTCTCGGAGCCAGACCACACTTTCCGCAACAGTTCTCTACGATTTCTAGACCGTAATAGGAATGATGCCGTGTGTTCTCTTTAATACCTACGTATGCACGTAGAACGCTAAATTAGCGACGAAGATGGGAGCGCCCATTTCGACCTTCATCTGAGCTAATGCAACCCGGTCCGCAGTTCCAATAGTCAAGCAACACCCAGAAGCGCCGGCGTAAAACAAATGTTATTTCCTCTAGATTGTCGTCAGGGCAATAAAGTTGCTAAGAAGTTCAGGGTTCGATTCGAACTTTTCGTTAGCTGAAAATTGTCTATGGCTTTGGCCTTTATCAATAAAAAAGTAAAATCCTTTCGTCATGAACGGGCGTACCAGGTTTACAGTCTGGCGTCAAATAACGCGTCTTCAAACCACCTTGAAAGATTTTCGGCGTTCGAAACATCTGTCTTGAACCCCAAGGATTACAGTCACCCAAATAGGAGTAATTCCCTACTATACTCAAATTAGGAAGTATAGTTGGCGTCGATATAAACAAATAAAACGCAATAATAATAACTTGGTTAAGCGTAAAACGTCCGATCTAAAAACAATTGCGTCTATTACGTCCTGATCAGAATGAGCACCTTCATGAACACCTGCTTTTGGGTGCGGCGCCCTACACCGAAGAGCTCATATTCGGTAGGACTTGACAAAATAGAGCACAGATAAATACTGTATTCTCTAAGAGAACCGTTTAAATCGTAAGGCTCAGAAAAGTACTTCTTGATTATTGGATCATAACAGAGATATACGATGTGTACTTTTGCCCTGTTTGTAGGTTAGGCAAAACGTTATTATTTCACCAGTTCGCTGACAATGTTCAGCCTACATTGAACCCGTTTATTGTCCAAGTAGAAGTTGTAGGGCACTTGAAACTGGCCAAGAACAATTTGTAAATGCCCAGTTTGCGACGTAAATCGTTGTCAAAATTGTACATAGTTAAATAGATTGCAGCTATTGCTTTTAGAATTCTGTATAGAGAAAATGCTTAGAATAGCTTATTGTACGCTTACAATTCTGTGTTGATACCATGGCATGTACATACACTAAACGATGATCTTTAAAACAGAAGACTATTTTTGATACTTAAAAAGCTTACGACCGTATATCCACGACTATAACGAGTAACTACATAGCCAACAGGCAAATAGATAATGTCTGTTTCCCGGGACAACTCTATCTGATCTGGTGCTAAAATTCGATAAGTCTAAATACATTTGAATCCTGTGAGGCCCATAACGTCCTTATATAGAGTAAAACATAAAGTAAATATATGTCCTCTGTAATAGTATTTATCAACGACTGGCTTGATTCAGACCTCCGTTCGCTTTACGCTTTGGATGGGATCAAAAGACATATTGGGTACTAAGCATTGCTGGTCGCTTATAAGGCATCTTTTTAGCTCTAGCTTTATACAGTCAAACCTAAATGAACCCTGCACGCTGGCCAGAAAATCCCGAAAAAGGTTCGTCTAACTTCAAATAGGCCAAAGAATTCTGCCACACTTTATGCAGAAGTATGCGTACAATGTAAAGCATTGCGGGTGAAGCCGTTACAAGAATATTGAAAGTTCCTTAATTAACCATGATTACAGGCCTCTCTAGAACTCAACGGAAGCAATAATTAGCCGACTTTTGTTCACTAACTTTACATCTTACGCAAATACAAGTACCCCTTAATTAGCAGACAAGGCGGAAAAACGATTGGTCTGCATTCATGTAAGAGTGGTTACGCAACGGATGGAGAAATCAGTCTCCATAAAGGCGAGTGGGTGTAAAATATCTACCTATATTTAGGATCAAAAGTAATATTATTCGTCCGTAAACATAGAAATTGCAATTTGCAAATTTCTGTGCATCGATGTCTTGTCAGCAGAGAGTTATAAGTTTAAGAACGACGATTTTCAAAGTAGCGTAGTAAGTGTTTTGTAACTTTGCACCTTACGTACGGCGTAAGTTCATGGGCGTTTTCAAGGAGTGATTTTTAATGGCAGACCTTTGTGATTTCTGCAGACGCGGTAGCCTAGACGATTTCTATTACGGGCATATTTTTTTTTGATGATTACGAATAGCTTCTATCCAATAGTAAACTTGCGCACTGTAGTCTCGTAAGGCCATTTTTGACTATGCGAGTTTGAAGACAATATTTTGTAATTAGACGAACATGGCTAATGGGCCAGTAACTAACCCATAACGTTGACCCATATCTAAAAATGCTTATTAATGTAAATCCATGACCAACCTGATTGTGCCGAAATCTACGGATAGCGCCTGCTCATAATAATTACCTCACTTATAAATGCATAAGGGCTTGTATGAGATCAAAATTAAGCGTGGTATAATCTTGATAAAATTCTCAGTTTAGGTTATTGATCAATAAATCACTCTCAATTGTACTTCATCTTCACAAACTGTTTCGTTCTGGTATTGTCAACACATTTTCCTTCTTGTATTAAGGAAGTATGTCGCACTACTCGTTTTAGGCGAACCCGCTGGCAATAGGATAGCTATTCAACTTTCCTGGCGAAGTCGGGACCTATTGAGTGACAACACAAACGGAGCTATCAAGGTGCCATCACCGACAGAAGAAACTGAATTAAATATCGAGTCGAGAAAGTCCGGTATAGGAGGCACCGATCATCCCAAAGAAAGCGACGATGGTGACACCAAGTCGAATCAGCCCGGGCCAAGCAGCGACCAGAACGAAAAGGACAACAAAATCGCGAAAGATTCTAAAGGTGGCAGCAAAGATGTGTCTAGTGACCTTAAAAACAGAACTGCAGATGTGACCAATACCACCCGAAAGGACAAAGGACAATCGGCCATTACTAGACGGCCATACGTTGGAATTACAGCAATCCACGAACATCCTCGTCATAAAATTGTCGAAAATGAGACATGTCTACAGGCCGGTGGGTTTATAGTGCTATGAACTCTTAAATATTTATGACATATTAAGTTAACTCTCAAATTAATTCAGTTATTTTTGCTGAATAGTCGTTAAGCTATTGGACTCATAAATTATTGCCTCAAGGAACCCGAATCGGTGCTAATTATCATACGACGAATAGTGCCCATCGTTTCGTAATTTTATTCATTTCAGTGAACGTACTTAGATAATCGCAAACTACTTAATATCCATGTTTGTCTACTCCTCTTCGGAGACGCCCTGTTAATTATCAGAACTCGATAGCGTCGAATGTTTTTTTGAAAAAAAAAAGTAAATAAAGTAAATGATGGGTTACACTAACGGTACGCTATCCACGTATCCGTCAGCATGCTCAATCTAATTATGCTTATGTTCGAGTTCCATGCGGTAAAATTTACGTGAGACGTGTTCAATGTCAATTAGATTTTGTATTCCAGAAAAGAAATTCTGGTATAGAAGGTCTCGAAACTATGTGTACAGTTTAAAGACGCTATATATATATATATATATATATATATATATATATATATATATATACATATGCGTATAAATGATCAAGTCAGCGAATCTTTGTATTATATATGTGCTTATTTTTATGAGTCTTGCGTAAAACATGTACCTATAAAGTACCGCCATAGTGACATTTGATTTTACCATTTATATTAGTTAGGCGCATTGTCCCTAAAACTTATGTTATCAACGCAAATCTTTCGTAATCTGTGCGACAGTTCATCCGGAAGTTAAACTAAATAGGAGCGTCGTTTAATGATGGGTGAAGTTCTATACTGTTCTTGTACGAATGGTCCTTCCTTATGCCTTGAAATCGGCCTGTGTTTACGCACAGCGCTTTAAGCGCGTAAGTGATTAGCAATCAGTATTTAGGGGAAATTTGTAATGACCCAGGATTATAAGGCCCAATAAAAATTACCCTCTACATTGACGATACGATGAGCCTGTCGCGTTCATAGCAGCTTGGTCTATCAACCACTATCGAATGCGATATAAATATATATCGAAACATTAATATTGGTTCTGTTATTTGGCTTCATTGCAGCTTTCCACGAGTTCCCATCAGACATCTTCTCTCATCGGGCTCGCGCTCGAGGTGCTATCATTATTCATATGTTTGTTGCTATATATATGTTTTATGCTCTAGCCGTCGTCTGCGATGATTACTTCATTGCTTCACTTGAAGAATGCGCACAGGTAAGGGCGTATAGCTTGCAGAAGCCGCAAATATTCTTAACACAGCTCCGTCCAATAGTTGCTAAACTATTATTCTAACACATCATGCTTCAATTCAACGTGGTACAGTTCACTAGACGACTTGAAGCAGCGCACTAATGAGGTTGCAACAACACAAGACAGGCTCCTGTCTGTATCGTTTATGTACAAGACCTCATGCATGTGTACACAGTTACGGAAAGCTGTCAGACGTTCTAGATCGATCCTGAACAACGATCTGAAATCAAATACAATTGGGCAGAGTATAATGATATTGCAAAAACGCGCTCATTTCCTATAATTGACCAAGTCATTTCTACCATAGGCTTCTGGCGGATAAGTATTGCTTAGTACCGACATGAATACGCAGATTGCCATTACGCATACGAGAGAATGACGTTTGGTTCTGATGTGACCGTTTTGGGCAGGAAGGCGCTTGACAAAAACCCAATACGAATACTGACGAGGCTGTTCATTCTTCCAGCGTTTGAACCTATCAGACGATGTAGCTGGCGCGACATTCATGGCCGCCGGTTCCTCAGCACCCGAACTATTCACTGCGATCCTTGGCGTGATTGTCGCCAAAGGTGACGTTGGCACGGGAACAGTTGTAGGTTCGGCCGTATATAACGTTCTATTCGTGATCGCCATCTGTGGATTATACGCTGGTCGCGAGGTTCCGGTCACGTGGTGGCCCCTGTTTCGCGATTCGGTTTTCTATTCGTTCACCGTCATCGTCCTGATTATTGTGATATATGACTCGAGGGTATCTCAGGGTGAATCCACTGTCATGCTTCTACTATACGGAATATATATCGCGCTCATGAAGTAAGTAATGTTCATCGTCCGACTGATCCTAAAATGCAAGGACCCGTTTATTAGGAATACGACCAAATTGTCACGTACGAATAATTATATATATTTTTTTTGCAGATTTAATCGTACGATTCATCTGATAGTTGCGGCAAAGTTTGGTCTTTCTGATACGGTTCAAAGTCGTGAGATGGATACCTTGACTGGTGATAAGCAAAATAATTACGGAGGCCCGACTAATTCCTGCATCTCGTTTTATGAAGCTGCTCTTATAATGCTCTGTAAACCGAACTTTCGACGTAAGACACGGTTCTGGGCAGCCGTCAAACGGGTTATGCATAATCGCCGAAAAGCCCTACAGGGCTATGGGAGGTTCACGCGAAGGTAACCTCTAATATACAGTTCTTCCCCTAAGGCATTATTTTCCATACAATAAAATCAAGACAGCGTACTGCGTCTAATATGTACTGAAAAGTTTAACTTTGTACGGTTGTATAAAAACAAGTGAGTCGGCGAATATCAACAAATTAAACATGTACCTAATTCAAGTCATTTGATTATTTGCAGTGAAAGTATAATCATGACCAGCAACAAGAAGTTCAACTGGCGAATCCGACCACCAATGGAAAACGGCATGAAGGATCAGGTCTTATACTGGATCCGCGTTCCTCTACTGGCTACGTTAGAGTACACAATACCGGATTGCAGGAGCAATCTCGGTAGTAAGGTATTCCTCGTCACGTTTGCCATGTCGATCTGGTGGACTGCCATATTCTCTTACCTGATGGTTTGGATGGTCACGCTAATTGGCTTTACCATGGGTATACCCGACTCTATCATGGGTAGGTCTTTTCCGCTTGACAGCTTCGTCCTTGTCGAGTCACGGATGAACTTTCACTCAAATCGAAAAGCTGCAACCTTGTAGAACGTTTGGATGACGCCATTTTTTCTTTACGATAGAACGCTATTAATTCACTGTAGCAGGTAGCAAAAAGCGGTCACTGATAAAACGGATCTTCTCGTCTCAGTGTTTGTTGGCTGGAAACAAAAGAAACAGCGTATAAGCTACATAGGACACTCCGTCTTTAGTTTCTGCAATTGCAAATATAATGTGGGACAGATTTTTCCTCAGTCGTACGATTTTTTTTGGCCCGTTTCTAGGCATCACGTTTCTAGCCGCAGGAACCTCAATACCGGATGCATATGCCTCGCTGTTGGTCTCCAAACAGGGGCAGGGAGACATGGCGATTGCCAATTGCTTTGGCTCAAATGTTTTCGACATTCTAGTTGGTCTTGCGGTGCCGTGGCTTATCCAAACGACATACATTGACCCCTCCGGATACGCCATCATCTTTTCAAAAGGACTGCTCTACACAGTCGTATTGCTCTTCTTAACCATCATCATTACGGCAAGTATCGAGCCTGATCAAAATAACAAACAACATTGGTAAAGCTAATTCAAATGCCTTTACCAATGTCGTTTTTATGCCAGATACAGATTTTCCATGATCAAGTATTAGTACCTAAGTGAAAAGTCTGCCATTTGTCACACAGCATTGAAGAGCTCCCTTATTTTTACTGCAGCAGAAGAAAAACAAATGACTAATGTGTAGATCACACTGTAGTTGTAGGTCTGCGATGATACTGGACCGCTGATAATTCGTAGGCATTAGATGCATTCGTTATATCATATACGGTGGCTCTACTACCCTATATTCAACCGGTTGATATTTATCTAAAACGCATCGTTCATTCTTTTATTTATTTTTTTCCTTTTAATTACAGATAGTTGCTATCCAGCGCAGCGGCTGGCTTCTAACAAAGAAGCTCGGTACCCTTCTAATGGCAATTTACGTAGTTTTTCTGATTTTATGCTCCGCTATCGAGTTTAACGTGTTCTCGCACGTGAATCCGCCGACCTGCGCGGAACCTGACGAATAGGTTCAGCCAGCGATGGGAAGAACGGGAGGGGGTAAGGTAGCAGAAAACATGGGAATTAAAGTGCAGACGATAAAGAATTGAATGAAAAATGCCAAAACCATACAAAATAAGGACAAATCAAATTGAGCTCTATGCCGATGCTTTTCGTAGAGCGAGTGTGTATACGATAACCAATTCGTGCATGATAGTAAATACAAATCGATCGATGATCTCTGCTAATAGCTTGCGTCGATGTATATTTACTTCAATACAACCATAACTAAACAAATTATACACTACAGTGTCAAAAAATATATTAATTTCTGCGTACGTAAGTATCTCGTGACTCAGCCATGGTGCTACCGTGTCTGATGGGCAAATACACTAAGGAGACAAAGCTTGACTATACTTAGACAATATGAAGTCTAAAATTTGCAAATTTATATGCAGAAAGGAAAAACGCAAGTCAAGAAGATCATGCGAGAGCGCAGACTACAATAATTTATTTCATCTAGTTTATTTTTTTAAGTTATCTACAGCATGAAAAAGAAAACAGACAGAGAAATATGTCTGACAAACACAAAACCATCTAGCGTCATTAGTGTATAGAAAACTCTCGCTCTTAAGCGAAATAAATATGCCAGATCTCTAGATGCATGCACGTTACGAACCCGTCGTGCTAGTCCTTTCGGACGTTGACGGATGGGTGTCCTTGATGCCTACGTAGATGACGACAAAATCATACTATAACACACACAAATAACCGTCAAGTGCTACAATAAATAATAATTTCTCCGTTCAGCCCAGTGGGCGCGCCTTGATGAACGGACCTAGAACATATTGTAGTCGACAGTAGAGAAATTTCAGGGAGTAGCCGCTATGATATTTTACAGAAAAACCATAAACAGAAAGGCAGCCGCATCACTATAAACCACACCAACAATAATGACGACAACGACCATAATAGCAGAATGAACTAGCAGCAATTGGTCGGAGCATCATTCACATCACCTTAACGGCCTTCGTGACGTTAAAACCTTTTACCAGGAAGAGAGACCGTATACCTAAATGGTACGCTCTTAAATCTACTATGTAGGCACCCTACGAACCGCAAGAGTGACCAACGGTTGTTGGCCTTATGCAGTATCAAATGCTGCCTATGGCATTTGATTTGACATTAATGAAATACAACGAAACAGGACTACATAAAGGAAAGGCTGCCTAAGCTGTACTGAAGCCCAGGTTAATAATCGGCTCATTTAACAAAAAGCGAAAAGAGGAGAGCGATGAAATGATAAACAAATGCGAAAAGGTATTGCAGGAAGACGAAACTCAGCGAAAATGAAATCGTTGAAACTCAATAATGCTGACAATGGCGGTGGTGGTAATGGCGACGGTCATGCAACATTAAATAGCTATGGAAACTTCCAACGACAACGGATTCGATGATGATTTACTTCGTACGATCTAGATTCTTACTAGTCATTATCAACTGATACTACAACAACTATTAAGTAAGTGCGATTTCTATAAATCATTGGGTGTACTTTGAAGGACGCGTGCACCATGCCATGTTGCGCTTTTGCAGAGGTCTGTGTGGCAACGTGCATCTAGACACACGTCGTCCCACCTCCGTGCGCAGCTCCTCATCTCGTTATTTGATGTTTATGTTTTTGTTGAGTGGCAAAACGAATGGAAAAGTGTATAGAAATAAGACAATGCCTGTGGAATTGTGTGGCTGATTGTTGCAAGTGAGAAAAATCTAAAAGACGAAAGCAAAAAGGACAGCAAATAGGACGCAGATCGAAGGAACAAGAAAGAAACATAAAAGTAAGGGAAGAAACGGTAGAAGAAAGTGTGAGTTGAACGAAATGCAACGTATGACTGGAATCTAGGCTTAGAACAAACGAAGATACTTATGGTGAGCTTGAGAACTGTTAGCTGAGCAAAGATAAATAAGGAAATATTAACTAAATTTCTATTTGCGAAAGAAAACAAGAACGATAAGCTAAAAATAAATCCTATACACACTGACGGCAAGAGAAAAAAAAAGGTTATGGAGACATAGGCAAAGGGAAATCGAGTGAACGGTGGCGACGATCTAGTAAAGGATCAAGAAGGAAGTAGCAAAAATAGGAAAGATTCGATAAGTTCTAATTGTCCTATGTCTCCACTAAACCCAATCGCTGTTGCTGCCCTATCTACTATCAACCAAATGCTTTCCTACTGTATAACACCTTGTCCGCCGCCGATCTTTCATCTACACTCAACGCTACGTCTTTCAATATATACTCACACAATACTATAGCCGAGTACCAGTAACTGAAAAAAGTAATGACGACGGATATGTGAATGTATTTATCTTCGTAATCTCGTACAGACAAAAGAAAGATGAGCCGATGGCGACCTATTTTCACCCTGAAACTCTTCAACGCATAAAAAGCATCAGCAAGAAAAACTAATAAACATTAACGGTAATATTCGGCCGTGCACTATTGTATGGGACATGAGAAGAACAGCAACATATACAGTAGACGCATTATTAGGTATCCATTTACGATCTGTTATTTCAAACAGAGACGCCTTCAAGAACTTCACGTCTTTCATGCGATATATAACTAATATCTAACGACATCCTCTACCAACGACAGATTTGGAACGGCACAAGGGTCTGTATTTTTTTATATTTTCTGGATTATATCGCTTAGTTAACGAATGCATGGAGAATTTTCTATTATTGATCACAGAGACTTCAGCATGATTATCCACCTATTGCTTTCAATTGAATTTTTTCAATGTTCGTATACGGCAAAATGTTTTATCTATCAGCCTGCTAGTACCTAATTACATTTATATGTAAAAATGTCATAGATGGCCTTAGGTGTCGAAAAGGTTCGTTGTGGAGCAAAAATTTACTGGAGACTGGGTCCATTAAATTCGACCTACCTTCACAGTTGTAATTACATATAGGTCGACCCTGAATAGATACCTTGAACTTTGATTCGTAGTCGTTCGTAGCTCCCAGAGGAGCTTCCGTAAAAGCACAATATTTTATGTAAAATGTTCGTTCTGGAAAGGTTCAGTACCACAAATAACAATAATCACATAGCCATCTAATTTGAGACAGTTAACACGGCTCATACGTGAGAGGATTATGTGTCGACTAGGGCCACGATACATTGCCGCAGTCTTTCATATTGAACATCAATAACCGAAGTTTCGACGATTTTAAAGCGTATTTCACAGACTCGTAGACAGCCACGCACATAAAACGACAGACACGCCTGAAACACAAGACAAATACAAACGCCTAACCACCTTCATGATACTTAGGTATTTATGTAGGTCAAATATAATTAGATAGGTATAGCGATACACATATCTATATACCTTACGCATTATTTCTATTTACAACAGTAATATCGAGCATAGCCAAGGCATGCTTGAACGGCAGCGAAATGTTAATGTCCTCCAGGCTACGTACGCGGACATATTGCAATCCAAAAAACCTACGACGACGTTTAAGTATGTAGTAATATCTTCCGAGTCTTGTCGGAAAATCGTGTTCCCTTTGATATACAGCTTAGATACGAATATACGCGTGCACACACACACACACACACACACACAAAAACGAATTACTCATCTGGTAGTTATTCTATTCGTGACTATATACACGGATGTATAACATGGCTAAGATAATAAGGAGAAGACCAAAGTCCATCTAAATAAATTTATAGACATTAATTATGAAACTGACTTCCACACTGCTAGCTCAATAAAAAAGTCTTTATGAATCAATCTCAATAAAAAGAGTTACAACAACCGCACTACAGAACTGCGCCATTTTTCGAAGGTAAATCGTAGAGTTTCCAAATTTTTGCACGATACTACACAGATGACTCGTATAAAATATGATAATCCGTTAGCATCATTACGCCAACATACAGTACGATAAGCCCCCCAAAAATGACATATAATGAGTGAGTGTCAGTGGGAATATAGGTAGAAAAAAAATATATGACACATAAATTATACAAGAAATCATGCCGTTCGCAAAAGGCGAGGTAAATTTTCGAAATTAATTTCCACGGCAACACGGAAAGCGGAAGACGGCATAAACAGACAAAACAGATATATACTAATCAGTGTACTAGTAAAAGCTGATGAAACGACTGCTGTTTGATTATCATTATGATTTACAATTCGCAGAGATAGCTGACCAAAGGGTACCTTATGCAAATGCTGAATTATATGGAAACATACGTGCAAGAGAGCGAGATGGGAAATCATGTCACTAAGTAGAAAATATAGAATAACCTATTGCCATTGACGGACACTGAAAGAATCATGTATTTTTTTTCCTAAAATCAGTTTTACAGGGTGTGACCACCGCACAGATGGCCATAAGGTTCCAGATGTAATCTCTAGCTTAAATGTTTCTAAATTATGCGCGTTCCTAATGTCAGCTCGGCTTGTAATAACGTTTGAGTTGTGTAAATATCACTATACTCCTTGCTGATTATATATTCGAAATTGATCGCCGTTGAGCTACAGATGTTACCGCCCAGAGCAGAAGTATCGGTGTTCAGAGACTTCGGAACTTACAAGGAAATATTAGTTTTGCATTTACGTACATATGAGCGTTCATATAATGCGAGCTCACAGCAAAAACTTCTAGCAGTTATTACGATGCGCCATACCCTGCATACTTAATCAGCAGATCTATGTCGATTCGTAATCGTTAGAAACCATTAAAATCATAATTAATTTACTCACAATGACGAATGCCACAGTCTTTCACGCGAACGGCATCTTTGTCGTTCCGTAAATGAGTCAAATATAGAACCAGTTGACCAGGGACTATATATATATATATATATATATATACGTAGCTACACAGCAAAGTTGAAGGATCATCTGTTCGAGATAATATTCTCATTGTTTTCCCTATGTTCCCGCTAAAGTCATATTATTGCACATAACAGCATTTGATTGGTGGATGGTTTATTCAATGTTTTTCTTTAAACCACATCTAATGATTGGCATGTTCAACGGGCTTCCCTATGCATTGCCCTATTTCAGAGAGCAGTAAAAAGCGCTGGCTGCCGGACTCTTTCACTACAATTTTTTGCTTCAAACATCCTTTACAATATGCTTATTAGACACATTGAGTACAAAAGCGAGTATCGAGCCTACGATTACTTCACCAGTTTTAACTTGAACTATGAGTTTCCCTCGCTACCATTCTCATATGGATAAACGACATATGAAGTTAGCCTTATATATATGTGCGCCGCATTGCAAAACGAATTAGCTCTCACTTTGTTTACGATACGAAGGGATTTTCTCCTCTACTCCACGCTGAGTGGAGCCATTTCGTTGCCATTCGAAGCAAAAGTATATGGGGCGTATATCGGTCGTACGCATCGCTCAGCCGATGCATGGACCTGTTTGTTTCGTCCCATATATATACTGAACTCTTTCACCCATCGCTGATATACACCATTTGCTACTGTCCTGTTACGAGTCACCTGTCGACTGCTACGTATTATTGTAGTATTTTACAATAAAAATAACAATAAATGAAGAACATTTTTCAGATACGTAGATGACACAGCGCAGTTTCCTGCCCATGCGTAAGCTTCATCCATGCGAACAAATAACAACAATGTAAGCAACAAAAACGAAGTACGTGTAAACTTGTTTTCACGCGACAATTCACGTGAAGTTATAGGGGTTCGAGTGAAGTATTGCTGCTAAAACGGGTCGCACAATAAGGCGATGAAATCGAAGCGTCGGACGATAAGTACGAACGCGATTAGTTAGTATTACCATGAGAGAGTCTGTCGTTTGGAAAGGGTTAGATGCCTTTTAGAGACTGATGGCAGGGAGACAGACCCTGATCTGTCGATGTACGGCTTAGTCACAAACAAATACGGTAGTATGATATTAGTCGACTTTAATTATACCTTTACTATTATATAGAACGAGATAAAGCGAAAATGTCTAATTTTGTTAGTATCGACGGACTAAATGTTCTTCAGAACTATGTTGTACATACTATATTTTGATCGTTGCCATATAGAGGTCGCCACACGTATACACTGTATTGAACATTTTATGTACGAGCAGACAAATAATGACGTCACTCATTGTACTTTGTTTATGTTCATACCGTAGCATTTCTCCCAGTTTTCTTTGATTCAAATAGGCTAGCTTATGTAGTACGCCGAGATAGAGCGCGTCAAGTGCTATTCACACAGGCGAGACCCTACTTTTTGCTTTATTTACTCCTTGCCAGTAGAGATTATTCGTTGTCCACTGTTTGTAGCATCTTGTTTGTAATATATACATCCCTCTGTATCGTCCCTCTTTCCTTTCGAAAGTGTGGGTGTGCGTGTGTGTGTGTGTATGAGAAACAGCACGCCGAGGGCAGGATCTGTGCGTCGTCTTTTCACTCATCTTTCCAGTGCCCCGGATGGTCCGACGTCCTGGACAAGCCTATAGCGAATGTTCGCTACACTGGCACGTTCAAGATGGCAGCGATGACTCGATAAAAAGCAAAAACAAACTGGAAACAACAACTAAATATCGAACACAAGAAAATGACAAACAATTAAATACTAGTAAGTGTTCTAGCAACTGAAGGATACATCTTTGCCGCTATTGAGTTAATCTAGTTAGAAAAAAAGGAAGGGGCACAATGAGAGCAGTAACTGGTTCGCGGAAATATTCACAATTAAATAAAACAGAAAATAACCGCTAACAAATTAAGGGCGTGCGCTTAAGATCGTTGAGTAGAAATCTAAGACGTCCAGGAAGAACCGAACGAAGCACCCAACAGGAACCATCATTAGCAAACGAATACACCAAAGCGATGCTGGATTATGTAAGTTGATTATCAATTAAAAATGAATGTAATTTAAAAACGAATAAATTGTAATTTGTTTGTATGAAAGCAGAGTATTTTCTTTTTTCGCTATTTTCCGTTGAAAAGTTTGCCACGAATTAACAGAACCTAGTGAGGCATCTGGGTATTAAAAATTGTACCAAACTCCCCCGGTCGGGCAGTGTTCGCGTACTATAACTATGTTACCTAAACGTTCCGAAGCATAAATAACCAATCAATGCCGCTCATCTGCTTGCTAATACAAGGGACTATAAGGTCCAACGAATGAACGCACCGCATAGAAATTGAAGCTTCAAAAATGTACGCTTTCTATAGGTCGTACTGGCTGAACCTCGATGAATTCCCACAGAAAATATCGCTCCATGGGCACAGGCGATAAAGCCAGAGCAGCACAAAATCGAACCGGGCACGTTCGCGTTTTAAGTGCGGCACAAAACGATACAAAATAGAAACTGTGAAGTTTAATAGCTACTTAAAAAGGTTACTTTTTTTTTCTCTATATTTAATATTTATTTTTTGCCATTTAGATTCTTTTATATGGGTATATAAAAGAAACAACACTGGATAATATATATCGTTGGGTATTTCGTGAATTTCTAGAAGATACATCTGATGGGAGGCGATGCGATTGCTTACGCGTTAATGAAGACGGTCGTTTTTGCCAAATGCATGTAGGATTCGTGTGTATTTTAACATGATATTTCACTGGGTGTGTTTTACTTATACGTGATAATTGTATCAAATATTAGTTGACGAACGCTTCTAACAGCGTCAAACAAGTCATACAGAAGATGAATGGCGTGGGAAAAACGCTGCTTGTTCAAACTATATTGAAACAATTATAGACAAATGCAGGCTCTATTGATTTTAGATTCTTTGTACTTTTAGGATAAAACAAACACGTAAAATGATTATTTGGTAGCATCATTAGATAGTGTTCAGTGCACATAAACAAATACCGGCGCATTCGTTAAAACGGCATAGTGGCTTGTTGAAAGTATTTTACCAAAGATATTCGTATGATCTATATTGACAATGATAATGCCAAGACAATGTTGGTAAGGATGGTAATACACGGCTGATCTATTTCTGCGTATTGAAATTGAAACTAAACTTCATATAGTGTAGTGCGTGTTAGCTAATTGCAACCCGTTATGAAGCGAGAGCTTATATCTTATTATATCTATATTAGGAAATTTCACAAAGCACCTTCCTCTTATTATCATCATTCTCCTAGAATGAATTCGGATGATTGGCTAGATCATATATTTCGAAAGCATTGCTTCACGTCTTTGTTTTCAGTGCCTTCGTATCTACTCTATCTTCGCGATCCGATAGAGCGCCTGTGCGAATGATGCATCGCAATATTGTCATATTACGCGTCCATAGACACTTCATCATGTTTTCTATGCTTCAGCCTCGGTACGCATCAATCTTCCTTCGTCGCACAAGATACAAGCGTGACCTCGCTTGTCAAAAAGCAAATATTGGCTGGGTAGTCTAACAAAACAGCTTAAGACTTAGTAGCCCTCTGCTTATAGTGTGTTTCGCCATTAAGCGTTCTCAAGGTCTTCGCAGCTGTCTCCGCACTGATATCACGCTGTGGTTGAGCAAGGAGTTCATATCCTACAAAATGTTTTTTGATCGATGCCGATCTCAACAGCGGCGGTAAGTAAATAGCATGCAATTGCCAATGTTCACCTTTCCGTCCATGCCACCCCATAGAGTAGGGGAAATCACATTCAAACAAATTGTCGTATTTGACCAACAACCGTTTCATACAAACCGCTAAATCTTTCCTCTCTTCCACAGTGAGTTCGGTAATTTCTTGAATATGCCGTTTAGGCAGAAGCATTGTCTCATACGGCCAGACCGCCCAAAACGGTACAAGGACCACAAAATACGTTGTTTCGCAGACAATTCGCTCTTTTCTAGCCAGCTCCTTGTGCGCATAGTCGAGCAGCATTGGTCGCCCATACTTTTTAAAGTACCTTTTCTGTGTACGCTCCTTGATCCGGATTTCGTTCGGTAAATACATCGAGCACCAGATCTGTCCATGAGGATGCGGATTTGAACAGCCCATAATGGCGCCACGATTCTCAAATAGCTGTACCCACGTAAACCGTGTCGAAAGTTCAATATATCGCTCAATCCAGATGGCAATTACAGCCTCAATATCGCGATGTTCCATTGTAGCAAGGGTGAGATTCGGGTCGGGGTGAAAGCAGACGACCTCGCAGCGTCCTCGTCCGGTTCGTGTTTGGAAAAAGTCGTCCTCATCTACCCTGGCTTGCTGAGGAGGTTCTGGTCCGTCTTCGAGAAGAGCCGGAAAATCATTTGCGAAACACCAGGTTGATGTGTACTCGGGATTCTTTTGCCCATTTGGCCTCACCGCCCCTGGCGACAGCGGATTGTATTTGGGTACGTCAAATTCCTGTTTTTTGACTTCTTCTCCCAGCCACGGCCGCTGTGTGCGTTGGGGTGACACAAGAATCCATTCATCGCGGAGTGGGTTGTATCGCGAGTGTGGGTGCTTCGTTGAGTCGAACGCCTGTAAGTAAAACGGCATTCTAATGTATGAAATTATTACCAACATATATTGTATATATCATGTAAGGCGGAAATATAGGTGCTCTAGATGTAAGTGGCGCAAAATGGAAGCATCAGTCTTACATAAATCATGTTTTTAAACATCAAAACACGTCCTAATTCATTGAAGTAAATTTTCTCACAAATTACAAACAAGCGAATACCATACGTTAAAAAATAACAGTATATCTACGTATATGTGATACAATGTAATAGTATATTGTAGAATTGAGTCTGAAAGGTTCCTTAGTTTCTAAAATCTATCGAGCAGTTTACTTCACTGCATCAGCCATATATAGCTGTTATTCAACCCAACAGCGGGGCAAATGATTCTTAAATCAACCTTTGAACCCTAACTAATTAAGTGAGAATGTAATCAAATTATTTATCAATCTAACATGACTTTATCTTTAATAGCTCGAACTGACACGCGGAGAAGTAATCGCATCACCGTCGCTATGAGTTGCAATCTCTATCGCAAAGATGTGGCTGAAGGATCAAGTACTCTTCAAAAAAAAAAACATTTCGAGGATACCAATAGACTTCTTAGGGCCTTACTATGAAAATCAAATATTCTTTATTTTAAGTGCCTAGTTAAAAGTGATCCGTGCTTATTTTATCCAATACTTCTCCTCACGCATGAAACAGCATGTTCCGGTCTTGCCCCCTGGTGACCCTTAAATCTGAATTTCAATACGTTTGTCACAATTATTTTGTCCACATTTCAAAGTAGCTCGGAAGTCTTCAAACCGATAACTATATATTTGTATATATATATATATATATATATAAAACAAACCTTTGGAATTTTCACTAAGAGGTAAGATGTTTTAATATTTCTTTTCTTTTAGCAACAAGGCTAGCTCGTAGGACTATCTACGTGAATATCACATAGTGACACTAACTGTTGTGCGTTTTGTGCGGCCTAAATGAGCCTAGAATGTGAATATTATTTCATATTTAGTTTGCGATTACTACCGACAACATGGCTACGCTCGCGTTCCGTTCTGCTCGTCTTTTGATAGCTAGTTCAACGACCTTTCAAAACGGAGACAACAATTTTTACGTACTCTCTGGCCTAGGGCTAGTTCACCCGTTGCATCTTTGTCTAATCATTCATTAATAGTAGCCGGCCTTAAAAATGCCTGATCGTAGCCAATACAGGAGCCTTGCCCGCAACTTCTAGCGGTGTGGAATTAGATCCATTCCTACAGGTGCTTTTATTATGCAGCTCAACGAGAAATCACTTGGGAACGTGGGGCCGTTAGCTTCGAGTAGATCAAAGGCAATCGTTCCCCTTGACACAAGGGAGCTTCGACGAATTTCTTTTCAGAGAGTGCCTGATTAGTACGTGCACAAAGCAATATGCAAACTAAAGCCAGCTGAATATTTTTCGCCCCGCAGCTTTGTTTGTTTTACTGCAAACGGAACGTTATCCGCATCAGTGATGTTTTTGTAGCTGACATGCAAAGTTTGCAACATGCAAACGTAAACTATTTACGTGCATACGATAAATATGTACAGGTAGCTATCTAAGCTAGAATAGGTTCAGGCTGCTAATACTGATGTTAATTAGATCCTAAGTATTGCCCACCATAACGTGAAAGTCAGGCTAGGGTAAAATAAATAGTAGAGGTCATACTGTAACTTCGACTTATGTTATTAAGAATATCAAGAGTTGATGTTCGCTAGCGAAGTTTTGGAAGCAGTACGCATTTTAATCCTTACCTATTCAGTGTACATAACTTTGCACACCAATACGGTACTTTAAAAATCTGACGATCAGCAGGACGGACTACGGGCCTGACTCGGATTGCGGACGGCCTGTGTAACGTACTGAAAATTAGGTTACAACTGAGCAGTAAACTCAATTAAATAGTAAAATAATAATAATAATAATATTAATACCCATTATAAAGAATGTTTTGTATAACTTCATTTTACAAGTGTATCCGTTCAAGTTAGCGTCAATTCGTATGTACCTGTAAGTTATTTCAATGCTTTTAAGCTATCCACGTCATTTATGACACTCTTTTGCAGGACATTATAGACATTGTAATGTTTCTGAGTGAATTCGCTCGTTCACAGCTGATCAGGCAATTTGATGTAAACATTCGAATAAGATTATAATAAATCTAGATGAGCGTCAATTTGTCATTAACATGTATAATTGACCATAAATAAATATATCCTGATGTCGTTTGATAGTCTGACAGAGTTTGTTGCCGTTCAGCCTCTATGCGGCTATATAACTGGTAGTTTAATCTCTGGGATAGTACTTGAAACGAGTGGCTCCACGAATAAAGTGAACGAGAATAGAAAACTATAGACGTTAGGGCAAAATAAGGATGACAATATTAGCTCACCATTAGACAAATAATCGAGAACACAAAAGAAAGTTATATAGTACTCATAGAAAAAAAAAAAAAAAGTCAATAATTGTTTCGTTCCTATATTCGATAACGGTCCGCTCTTATAGGGGGCAACAGGTTTCGTAGGCAAAAGGTTCTACTATACAAAAGCTGGTTCTATCAACGTTCAGTTCAACTCGTCAACCAACGTAAAGCTCAAATCGATATGTCCCACTTATCTAAACAAAAGTTAATTATATCAACAGTTCCTATGTAGATCAAGTTTCTTCTTTGCAAATTAACAAACAATTAAAAGACACCTCACTAACTTCAACCCACGTTCAGTATTTACCTACATTAGCTCCTAGATGGCGTTGGCTCATCAGTTTTACCATTGGCGCCATTTTGTCCGGAACTCAACAGTTTGACTACCTAACCCATCATTCGTTTTGTTACGACGTTTACAATGGATACTCACCATTTATGTCACACTCAAGTACTCGTCTGACACGCCCCTAACGGCAACTTTCTACTGCAGAGCTAAATACGACAGATTACATGCATCCGCTAATGGTCTCAAAGACCCAGAAGCATACAGTCTCCCTACGGATTAACTGTCGTCTGCCGAACAGTTGAGTGTTCGCTAGTTGATAGCAGTTTTCAAAGAGGGATGTGATCGACACATGGCGAAAACATGATAATTGCCTGCAGACAGGAACGTTTAGCCGCTGCACCGCTAATAGTCAAATGCGACATAGACTTCACTAGCCTGTACCTTGAATAATATCGAAGGGTACGTATTCATTCTGAGTAAATGAGAGAGCCCACCCGTCAAACGGATACGCACTTTGGTGAGTGTGGTTATAATGCGCCTGTTATCGGCCACTTAGGGCCGCCCTCGCAGGCGGATGCTCTCCATAGGAGAGTTATTTTTCGAGGTTGTGTTTCACGTTTCTCTTCGGAGAGTCAGCTCAAGTAGTCGGGGTATTCACAAAGACGTCTATTACGTACATATGAGTAGTCTAATTAGGGAATCTAGAGAGATTTATAGATAGAAATAATAGCCTAAAAACGGAGGTACAAGGGTTAACCTTGTTATCATAATTAGAAACCCTTTGTTATTTTATTGTTTCAACGAGTTCACCAAGTAAACCGGTTATCGCCGATGTACTCTTGTTGTCATGTTTCGGTCGTCTGGTTAAATTCCCCTTCCTGTCGAACCTATCAAAAGTTCTCTCTCCCTAAAAGGGGTGAAAGGGTTAAAGCTATACAGAACCGCTGAAATCAAACTGAAAACCTAGAAAACAGCTCCACATTTTCGAATTACTAGTACTGCTTATACGAGAGCGCCCCAGGCATCATATGCAAACAAATATAAGTTATATCGATGAGCACAACCTGCACTGTTTTACTGTCATTATCGATCACCGACACAGGCGTGTACTGATCACATTAAATCCAGTAATTATATTACATTAACTTTTGGTTTTGTTTGTCAAAACAACTGATATTAGGCATATACGTGTATTGGCTGTTTTTTTTTTGAACTAAGTTAGTCGCCACAATCCGAGCCATTAGGTATTATTCAGTGAACAATGGATAATTTTGGAAGTAGCTATGTACAAACCATATGAAATGAGGGTTGGTATAGTCAATGTACATCTATCTGAGCTGCCATGGCTAATCCATATTAGCCCGCCAAATTTTTCAAACAAGAAAAAAGGGACTGCCTTTTTTTCAACTCAACGACAATTGTAGATGACACTTTGCATAAACTTTACTTTCTATACAATTCGAAAGAAAAAAAAAAAAGCTGAAACATTGGGTAACGCAGTGTTCCTTTGCGAACAAAAAAAAACGCTTCAATTTCTACCGATATTGTAAAACGTAATTTTTCTAAGGTTATAAACAGTTTTGCTCTGCAGAACAACTAAATATTATTATTACTTATAATAATAACAAAAATTCATACTTAAAATCTCTATCTCTCGTAAGCCAGCGGCGTAGGTGAGCACATACGAATACATTAATTCAAGATATCAGTGTTAAAACGTAGCATATCCGGATAGATACCCATTTCTAAATGTTTCCATAATCTTTTGAATTGCTTTAACAATAAGTACGCCACACATTATGGCTTCATAAAATGCACATGGCCGTCGGACGAAGCTGAATGATAGCGATGATGTAAAAGGAAGAGAAAAATCTATGAAAGATTGTTGATGTATATTTTTCAATTTGAATTAACTAGTGACCTTAAGGCGCTACCAAGGTATACCGACAACCCGATTACCGACCTAACATACTTATGATCGTTGCGTAACTCTGCGCTGAAACGCAGGGCGCGTCTACTAGCTTACTATCATCCTTTTATAATAAAATCTAACCTTTTATACGGCAGATTACTCAGTTTGTGTAGCAAATGTATGTAAGACCATCTAGATGGTCAGCATTATTATCGGTGGAAGTGTACACCAACATTAGAACAACTGATTTCTTTAAATCAGCCTTTCGGAGGTTTTCAGTTGACCTACCCAGAATGTTACATTTAATTACTGAACTGTTCAGTCTGTATCGGAGACGACACTTTCTCTACTTCCGGCGTTCTACATTTATGAGGCCAGGCTGAATTGACTCAAGTAGACGGACTTCGAACGAGCGTTTATCAGGTATTGACTGGAAACGTAGGATGTGCGTAACGTTGTAAAAAGAGATAAATCTAAGGGTTTGCCATTATGAAAGGCGCGCATCAGACAAAGGCCTTTTGCAGTTTTGCTTTTGCGTTAATGAATTTCTATTTACTTAATAGAATAATGAATTTCTCTTTGATGACTTAATAAATTTCTATTTATGGAATACATAACATGGGAAGTAGTAAATGGTACGTATGTGAATTAGCTTAATCAAAATGTGATTGCTTTTTTTTTCTGTAACTGGCCGCTCGCACCAGGCATACATTGCTCAGTATCGTTAATTATTTTCTCACTAGGAACATCTATTGTTGACTGAAAGAAATTAAAAGTTAAAAATTAATTAATAAAAAAAAATGAAAGAGCGGTAAAAAAAATAAATCAAAGAAAGCTTTTTTTACCTACCTTGATATGGGTTTACGAACTTAGAATATTCGTACTGGATTAAACAAAGTTATCTATATATATAAATATATATACATATATATACGCTACGGCACGTAAATTAGGAGATTTTTTGGCGGATTATTCACTGTGAACGGCGTACGCCCATCCGCTGCTCTCGTTCTGCAAAAAATAACAAGCTCGTTATGAAAATTAGCTATTATTCAGTCTTAATGTGCTGGACGAGCCCCACCAGAGCTGAAACGTATTTTTTACCCGAAATCAGCGCTCTGCGCCTTCATGCGGCTTTCGAGAATCCGGCAAGGACTTTCATGAGGGACACAGGAAGGTCATCAACAGAATTAAGGTTTAAAGGGCTAAAAAATCATGAAAATTGCCCAAAGAGCCGTTTTTGATATATTTGGATTTTTTTAAATAGAAATACAGTGCATGGCATAGATAAAGAGGAACATATGAATTGCTAGTTGGGTTTTCCAGATAAGCTCCAACGTGTAGTCTTTTTAAAATTGTTTGTTTCGTTTAACATTTCTTCGACCTTTTGACTATTTTGAGCTCTTGCATTTTTTGGGCTGGTTGTAATTCAGATATTTTGTATCGCTCGAATTTTTTGTACTCGATGTGACACTTTAGCGGGTTCACACCTAGTCATATTGCTTCACGCATGGTAGCCATTAATAAGCTGTTTCCGAGCTAAAAAGATATTCCTACAATTACCAATAACTGGTTTAAATCCGAGATTAAAGCTGTTATTGCGGTGAATGGTGGCTATATTGAATAAGCCTGACCGCAAGGAATAACATTTTTGGCATACCCAAAAGAAATATGTGTGTTAATTTAGATAAGGTATTAGAAGCAAAACATCAGCAAATGTTCTAATTACATGTAGAAACCTGTATATATATATATATATATATATATACAAGATGCCCCAGATATGTACACACGAACTAAATGATTGATTTATTAACACAAAATTAATATTTAAATTGCGTAAGAATACGTATAATTTTACGTATTGCCGCATACGGCCAAATGAGCATTGTGTTGATCAGTACACTGTTGATAACGGGCTATTGATTCACAAATTTGAACAAACACTTCATTTTAGGCCATGGCCTATTTTTGCTTAATTGCGGCTTTCAAATCGTCCTTCGTCATTGTTCTTCTAGCGTACGTAGATTTTACTTTCGTCACACTAAAAAGTCGACTGACGGCAAGTCTGAAGATCCCACAGGGTATTTATTGGACCCGATCCACATGTTTGGAAGATTCCTTGGAAGAAGTGATGCTTGGCCATAACAATGGTGTTGTGCTTCTGCTCCGCCTCGTTGGAAATAAAGTTTGCCATCTTTGTCAATGTTCTCCCGAACGCATGGCAAAACAGATCTTTGTAGGAAATTCAAGAAATAGCCACTAGTCACTGTACTGTTAAAAAGGATGGTCCACTCCTCTGCCTGCAATGGCGTACTACAGTACAACTCCTGGCAAATGGCGTTTCCGCATAACATGTAGATTTATAGTTGCCAGCGAATGTAATCACCATTGTGCCGTTTAATTTGTGTGTAACTTTATCGCTCCAGACAATCTTTTCAAAAAACTGTGTATCCTGCTTACAAAGAACATTCGCAGAATTAGTTTTCCGTTCGGATCCATTTTTCAAGTATAACTTTTCTATTTACGACACTTGGTTTGCTAATACCAAGCTCACAACTTGATTGTCTCGCAAATGTTTGGGATGTTTAGCTATAGCCTCTATTCTTGATCGGCGAAACTCGTTGACGCTCTTGGTCTTTTGAAAGTTGAAGACTAGCGACGAAATGAGCAAACGTTGGGACCTAAATGCTATAATTTAGCAGATTTTTGTCTAAAGTATAAAATGAGTTGGCATTTCGCATGTGATGGATTATAGAATTATAATTCGACCATAAGTTGGCTCCAGTTAGTAGGAAATGTGTGCGGTATATTCCACGTGCAATTCGCGGAACCCTAATCAAGAAAAACTCACCGGGAGCATACGATCGCCATAGGCAAGGCATGATTTAATCTCTATCGTCAGCCAAAGAGACCCCAGGCGAGAGAATGGTGTCACCCTGGAAAAGGACGAAGTTCCGTGGCAGTGTCGAATAGATTCGGACGTAAGGACATCAGAGGCATCTGCTACTATGGCATACCCGCCGAAAACGAAACAATGAATGCAGTTCGCTCTACTTGAGGCTCATGGGTCGTTGCGGCAATCGAAAGCACGGCCTGCTTACTTGATGGCAACGCCTCAATTACTTCCTGGATGGAGCAAGCAAATATCCAACGTAGGCTTCAACTCGTTTATTCTCCCGATTAATTACGGGGCTCTCCATGTCCTAAAAAAGGCAACTGGTGGTCAGGCAGATGCCACTATCGATTGACTTCGAGAAGCCATCGATAGGAAAATTGCCTATGAGGACGTTAGTGATAGGTACATAGCTGCCCAAGGGCTGCCAGTGTGTTGGGCTAAGTGTGTAAAAAAAAAAAGAGGATTTCTAGAACATATTAAAAATCATGACTTTAGACCAACGAGCGCAAAAATATTTGATTTTTGCTTTTTAATCAGATTCGTTTATAACTATAATATAAAACCGAATTCGTTTATAACAGCCTAACATATATGTACAACTCAATTTGATCTTAAACGTAGCGGCCGAATGACAACTGTTTCAAACGTACTTTTGTTGTA